GCCATGTGCGGGATCAACTTAAAGGAACCTTAACCAAGGGGTATTAAACTGAATACGTGATAGTCACCCGACGCGGGCAATCTTAAAATCAACTCTTCAGAGATGTCCCCCGTTGAAGTAGATGTACTATTCCAGAGCTTTACACTAGAGGGGAAACCCTCAACATGAATCAAGACAAAAAGAAACCTACCGGTACTTTAGCACTCCCCATCACCCGAGTGGGGTTAGCTGATTCCTTGATAGTCGACCCATACAGAAACTCACCTTCTTAGTGTTCCCTTATAGCCGAATGTGTTAGGTAACAAAAACCCCATTAACCGACAGCTTATCTTCCCCAGAATATGCACAGCCCATGTCTCGGGATGTCGGGGCTTGTCGCTTGTATATGTAACCCAAGAGTCTTGTTTCCTTGCCCAGGATTTCGCCAAGTTTAAAGGTCAGAGCATATATATTGAGTAGTCCATGACTCTTATCATCGTGGATATCTCTCCGCCCAATGGGATTGCTTTGCAGCGGCGGAAGGAGAGCGGGCGTGGACGCTGCAAGAAACCGGAGACTATGCCAAGAGAGAGGGGTATCCAGCCGACTGATAAGTTCAACAGTCTAGCGAGACTGGGGGGATCCATCCATATTCCTACTAAAAAACCTACAACATTGCTACTAGTAGACATAATAGTACCACAAGATCCACAAAGCTCTCGGGATATCTAGTCTTAATATCATAGAGACTGATCTTAGAGAAGTACCAAAAGTAACAATATTATATGCTACACTGCCATTTAATGTAATCTGTAGTTGGTTAGTTACCGATCTTACTTGATTCAAGGATGTCTACAAACTGGCTGGCTTTTCTCTTTCCACCACCGAACATTTCAAAGTCTTATCAAGATTCATACCCTGTCGCTCTTTAGATCAAATACACTTGTTCTGTAGGGATGAGCCATATGCTTCTTTCATTATTCTAGGAAACAAATGGGGTTGATGTGAAAGTTTTACTGATACTTTTGTTCCTTTTTCACGAATGCTTATGATTTGAAAGGGGAGTATCAGATATCTATCTACTAATTAACCTCAAGTCTCTTCTTGTCCTCGTAATAATGCCTCCGTTGTTACTTCCACGCGATACTCTGCTTAATCCAGTAATTCAAAGATAGCTAGCTATATGAAGCAAAGTAGATAAGAGCTGTATCTCCATTCGTGGCCCACCGCTTGCCGCAGGTAGAACTAAGAAAGCACATTGAACTTCTCCGAGAATTAGGCGATCTAAACAATACTTGAAAAACCCCCAGGACAAAAGCCAGCACATCCTGCTGTCGTCGGGGTGGGGAGTAGCGCTCAATCTTCAGCTATAATACAGGCAAGCACTCAGCTAAGAACAAAAGCAATCAAAAGAATACCTGAATGCACCTGGGCAATAACTCTCATACAAAGATACCTTTGATACAAGCAAGTGCCCGAGAAGGTTATCCGCTGTAGCTCCTAAATCGCAGAGAAACTGCGTCGTCGAGATTCGAGCTCATCCAAGTTCCAGTTTGCCGCTGGCAGTGTGTTGAATGGCTTGTTCGGATTTTCGATCTCCCCATTAAGTATGGTTGAGTTCTTTATGTCTTGTGGGAGAAGAAAGCCCGCTTTGATCATGGCATCCTGTTTGTCTACCTCGGGCTGACTGACAAGGAGGCAAGGTTGCTGAAAATTCTGGAAGACCACCGCTTTCGCGGCCGTATCCGATGGCCGACCAAGACAAAGAGGGGCCCCCGACCAGCCATCAGCTGGTGCGTACTCCGCACCCGTGTGCCACAGTAAGAACGCATTTTGAGACTTATCCTCTCTGTTCCATGTGTATCCTGTGCCTAGAACTGCAGCTCTCGTGAAAAGGGTTGAATCCAAGTTACCCTTGATCATTCGCCATCTCCCAACGTTCGTCTGGTGGCAGACCACATACACCTCTTGTCCGTCGAGGGCAGCAGAGTAATCTGCCCACCCGGTTATTGATGGATAGCCGGGTGGGCTGACTAAATCTGGGAGCGCAGGGTCAGAAATTAGAGAGAGGTCGTGACTGTACCCTGCTGGGTATGGTTTGATATAGCTTGGCTGGTCATACGTGCGCGTTATGGTTCCAAGCTAGTAGCGTAAGACAAGTATAACTATGCAAGAGTTAGATTGATGAACGTACCTTCTTATTATTAGAGGCAAGCCACGCATCTCTTCCCACGGGGTTATTGGTAAGCACTCCTTTGGGAACGATGAAGGGACCATCGCCCTCGCCGAACTTGACGGGCAGATATCGCATCAACGACTTTTTTGCCTTGTCAACCATTATCCGAAACAAATGCATCATATTTGCCGGTGTCGAATCCCCCGGGCAATGTACAAACCCATGCGTTACGGCTGTGATGGCGCAGGAACCATTCTGCAGCTGGACCTTGAGTCCAAGGCACCCTGCACGAGTGTCGTGCTGCCCATCCACATCGGCAATCACACCCAGGCCAGATTCGATGGGAGTTGCTGTCAGCTGATAGCGGGCAACATCAAAGTATACGCGGAGACCGGCTAGCTCTAATGGCCAAAGCTGAGTGTACGCATGGTGCACATATTGCATATGCTCGAAAAGAACGACCATAAAACCAGCAATAAGTACCTCGACACCTACAGCCTCTGGAAACAGTTCTCGAAGGCTGTCAAGATCAGTGGGTCTCAGGAGTCGCCTTGGGTTGATGTATCGATCAAAGTGCTGATTGTATTTACCAGGGGATCTCGGAGTGAGAATTCCCATGGGAATATACTCCCAATGATCCCCGGGATAGTAGTGGATGGGTCGTCCACCTGCATAGACGCCAGTAATAGGCGAGTCGACGAGCCATACAGCCTCACCGAAACCGGATTCCGAGACCCATACTCTCTTCTTGGAGGATAGAGTGGGGTGGTGACTTCTGACGAACCGTTCATTGTGCTGATCGACACTTGTAATTGATTCCGCGCGAAACGTATCCGCTTTCGACCTGTCTTTAGACGGGGAATCTACAATAAATATACTTTGATTAGCACCAAGGAGCCATCTAGCTAGCTGTGGATCAGAAGCTAGGATATACATACAAGGCACTAGCCGGATCGAAAACGGATCATCCGGAGTTTCACAAGGAAATATATCCATGTCGGTGGCTGGAACATGAGGGTACGCGAACCCGTTTGTTTTACGGCGTTTAGAGCCGGAGACCTCCATCAGGCCGTGATCTTGTGATACGGTGATCTTGTGTTGCTGGTAAACAAATGGATAGCTTTTTGGGGAGGGGGCATAGGTTGTTGAACTTCCGACGACACTGATGCAAACAGGGCCGTGGGTGTCGAGTATTTGAAACAGGAAGGTACGATCGAGAATGATGGCTGATTCACGTAACTCGGATGGATTAATATCATAATGACTTCGTCCCACGTAACTCGGCGGGAATTAATATCATAATAATTAGATCATAGATGACTGCCCACGTAACTCAGAGGGACTAAGATCATAATGACTTGGCTGTAAATGACTGATTCAGGTAGCAGCATCCCACCTCCATATCTCGGAGTGATCAATATCATAGTGACTTGATCATAGATGACTGAGCGCCCCACATACTCAGACTGATGATAATAGGTGATAACATGAGGAGGGGAAATAGATGAGAAGTGGGGAGAAAAGACGGAGAACACATGATTTGACGCCGGCAACAGACAGTGAATTAAAAAGGCCAACCGATTCAATGGTAATGTATTTCTTATCGAGCCATATTAAACAGAATGATGTGATGTACAATGCCAAAGGAAGCTCTCTGGATTGAAATAAGCATATACTACTAGTAAGTATCTGGATTACTCAAATTGGTCGGCTTGTTCAAATCATTCGATTTATTGACCTGTCTGCTTAAGCTATTCAGATTATCGTTTGACTAGTACTGGCTAAGAATACCAGTCGAAACAGTTGCAACAGTTGAATCGAATCGATTGCATAGATCGAATATATTAAAAAGGTTGGAATGGTGAAGTTGGTCACTATCAATCTGCATATAAAGAAAAGTTATACCAGTATGAATATATACATACCTATCTTCTCTATCACTTTAGAAGTCATGTGAGAAAAAAAAAAAAAAACAACAACAACAACAACAACAACAAGAATAATGTGTGTTTATGATTTGGCTAGATAGTCGATGTATGTCCGCCGTAACAGCGGCTGGCACTTGTACATATCTCTCAACAGTCGTCAGACCAGCTTCGTGTGCTGTTGGCGTCCTCCTTAACCAGGAATCAAAAATCACTCAAAGCGGGGTACACACCATTATCCCAGGAAGCTCAGTGACCGGAGATAATAGCGCAAGCTAATGTCAACACTAAATGTGAGCTTCCTTCCAGAACCAGACATCAACCGCCGGGCATATGCAGGATTTCAATAGTTTCTGCAAGTGCTTACCCTAAGGCTGAGCACGCTGCAGGTGCATCCCCCAGGAGCAACGCGTCAGGTAATTATTGGAGTGGAATTTCGGATGAGTCGGCCTTGGGCGGGGGGCACGAACTTTGGCGCCAATCTTCGGGCGAGATGGAAGCCACTTGGATCCGGCCTTTACGGTCGAGAGAGGGCACGCTGAAAGAGGGGAACTAGTAGTATCACTAGTAGAAGTGTTGGTTCTGGGTTAATTGGGAGAATGTTCTATATTTTATCGTGGTGTGTGATGGTTGTATCTGAATGAGGTCGTTGTTTAGGTTATCCATTTTTAGAACTGTTAAGTCTAATGACCCTGAATTTCCTCCGCACTAGGAAAATAAACGGGCTAATTGATGCTATTTCCGTACCCCCTTTCACCAATCAGACGTCGACAAGATGCTGATCCTGCAAGGCTAGAGGGTGACCATCTGCGGGTTGTCGTAAAGTCATCACAGTCGGCGCTTAAGGTTATCGTGATGGGGCCAATGGATTGGGTTCCGTTGCCTTGGTATCCAATCTGATTGCTGCAACAATTTGCTATGATTAGAACACCCAATTTAGAGGATTTTGGCGTGTTGACTCTCATGACAAGATTTAGTACTTTCCCCTCTTTCAGTTGATTCCCATCTGGCATGATGAGAGAAAAATATAATAATACCTGGATGAGTTTCCCCAGGCCCTTCGTCCTCTCTTCCTTTTCATCATCAGACCCTCCAGAGAATAACCTGGGGTTGTTCGTGGTCTGGAAAACCACCTTACTCACTCTGAGCAATCTTATTCTATACTCCATCTGCTCTTTGATCAGCCATCCACCATGGGTGTGATTCGTCTACCACGTCCAACGGGTGTTTATGTGCCCACGTCTCCTACTCGCAGTCTTACGACCGATGTGATCTCTAGTCCCCTTTCTCCCGACTTTACCTTTGACTCGGAGACTCTTCCTCCTTCAATCCTCCCCGCCCTCGAGTACATCTCATACAAGCTCGAACAGAAGATGATGCATACCACGTTGCTAGTGGGCCGTGGAAAGCCATATCCCACCGGCGAGCCATCCGACCTGATGGTCATTCCCATCGACGAGCTTGACCAACAAACATGGCGGACCGTCTACCGCGCCGTGGTCAAAGCCGGCAACAAGTTCTCGCTAGGTCAGAGTTGGACAGACGCCCTAAATCGCAGTCAATACGAGCGTCAGGCCAACGAGTACCTGGTTCAACAGTCGATCATGCAGAATGAGGTCATCTTTAGCCGAGAAGGCCTCACGTTGCTCAATGTAGACCGAATATATACATTCAAACGTCGGCTGTGCATCCTTTCCAACCAAGGCAAAAACCCCGAAGCGTCCTGTGTCACATCCTGCGTGCAGCTCCTACATCGCACCATTAGGGATTTCCAGGGCCGCCCGTTCAGTAAAGCATTCTTCCACCGCGTTTATGAACAGCTCGACGTGCGGGACGAACTCCTGACCCACATCGCCCAAATCTATAAGAAGCAATTCGGCCAGGAAGGGATCATTTTGCCGCCGCGGGCGCGGGCAGAGCACAGCAGCCGGAACTCCCCGAAGCGCACCGTTCGGGCACGCATGGAGCTAATCCGCCGAGATATAGGGCTGCTCCGGCAAAGCGGGGACCCAAGACCCCACAGTCTGCTTCGGATGTCACCCCTATTACGAGGAACGAATGGAACATCCTCAATTCTAATCTGCAACAGACTAAGCCTACCGTCACCAAATGGACGCCGTCGCCCACTGTTCTCGCCGCCGCTTGATTTGGGGAGTGGAGAGCTAGATGTCAGTCGGCATCACATGCTTAACCCTTACCTTTCCTATCCCCAAGTCGAAAGACTACTGCTTGGCTGCGGCCAGAACATTCCGAGATGGTTCGTAACCGTCCATCGGCCAAACATGCCTTGGCCGATCTCAAGTGGATCTGGCCCAAGATATCGGCGAACCGGCCAACTCGGCCTTAGTTACCAACGCCCATAACTCAAATCTATGGGGTATGAGCACTTCCAGGGTACTGCGCAGTACAGTTCTTCACGCCACCGGCCCGGGAAATCATCCCGCGCTTCCCACAGTGATATCTGGAACTCGGTCCGTCTCAACATTAAATACCACCCTCCCAAAGGATAGAAGAGGGGTGGTGGGCGTTAAAGACTGCCGAATGGTAAAACGAAACAATGTTGTATGTATATAGGTTTAAAAATCAAATTGACACATAATGAAGCCCTTGTTATCACGATTTTTGCGTAGTGGAGCAGGGTTGCAACGGCATCCTCCGACTGGCGATGCCGAGAGGGGTGGCATTAGTGGGGCATCGGCAGTCATCGGCCGTGGCATCGCAGATGAACTCTGCACTTTGTATGGGCTGAAATTGACAAAAAGCAATGTGATGTTCGTAGAGAGAAGTATATTATTCGCTTGTCATATCGCTTTCACAGGCCATTCTTCTCCCACACCGCTGATCCAAGGTCGGAAACAATCGGGAACCCGCGTGAAGCGCAAGGGATTCGAAGTATGGAACTCGGCCACAAGCGAGGAAACAAGCTTTAATTTGCTCAGATCGACTTCGTCCAGTTCGCTTGGCTCTTGGGTCTTTCTTTGCTGGATCCACCATTGGCTGTCATTACGCAGTATTGATAATAAGTGTTAGTACTCTTATCTCTCGCTCTTCTTCCTACCCCACATATGAAATAAAGATTCATCCACCCCAATCACGCACACGCACACGCACACGACACAGACACCCAATTTTCAACTCGAGTAGACTGTACAGTGAAAGAGACGGGATATTACAATCGCCAATTCAGATTTAGGTTCTTCATCATGCGGGAATCATCCCCTCCTAGCTTCTCGGAGGCCTTGTCAGACTCCCAGAGCGTCGTCGATACAAAAAGCAAATGGACGCCAAAATCACTCATTCGACATGCTGAGCGCTCCCATCGTCGGATACCAGGGGTTCGCAAAATCCCCTTCCCAGCTCTTGCTATCATCCTATTCATTGCATTCATCAACGTAGCGGTATGGATTGCGGTTGCTGTTGTTCTGGTAAGCTATTCCCGATGCCATAGCGAAAGTCAGTGAACGTGGCGCTCTATGTTAGGGTATTTCTTAACGTATATCTCTCAGCGTTACTATCCGTATGTTGTCCTGCTCAGCTAGAAGCTTGATATCTGTGCTACATGGGAAACTTTTGTCGATACTGACAATGCCATAGGTCTCTGGTCTCTAATGCCGTCCTCGCATATACCTTAGGGTTAAGGCATGCCTTTGATGCTGATCATATCTCAGTATGTGCCCTGTACCGTGTGCAAATAACTCATCTAACATACAATGTTAGGCTATCGATTTAATGACGCGTAGGCTGCTGGCCACGGGTCAAAAGCCTGTCACTGTGGGAACCTTTTTCTCCCTTGGTCACTCCACGTGCGTCTTCTTGTTCCATTGATTCCATTGACAGGACTGACAGGCTATCAGTATTGTCATCATTACATCTATCGTTGTGGCTGCCACTGCAGCCGCCGTGTCATCCCGGTTTGACAGCTTCAGCACTGTTGGCGGAATTATTGGCACATCAGTCAGTGCCGCTTTTCTCATCTTGCTAGGTCTCATGAATTTCTATATCCTTTATAAGCTGTACAAGCAGATGCAGAAAGTCTTAGACCTGCCTGAAGGCCAAGAAGACGAGGCCTGGAAGATTGAAGGAGGTGGAGTCCTCTTCTCCGTCCTGAAACGGATGTTCAAATTGATTGACCGGTAAACTGCTCCGTATTCAAAGTGAAAGGAACTCTGGCTAACGGACTCTCAGCCCTTGGAAGATGTACCCGCTTGGTGTTCTTTTTGGTCTTGGGTTTGACACTTCTTCGGAGATAGCTCTCCTTGGGATTTCCTCTGTTGAAGCTGCGCGAGGCACAGATTTCTGGGTTATTCTCATCTTCCCGATCCTCTTTACAGGCATGTTTAGAAACCAATGCAGTTACTGGTAAAGAATCTTACTAACACCCACCTAGCTGGAATGTGCCTCCTCGATACCACTGATGGGGCCCTCATGCTCTCGCTATACATTCAGCCCGCTGCCAACTTCCTCCCACCGAAGGAAGACAGCTCGACCGCCGAGACGCCGCTCATCGGCGAGGACCACGAAATCGCGCCATCGCAGAACCACCGCGACCCTATCGCGTTCTTGTACTACTCTATCGTGCTGACCTGCTTGACCGTTGTCGTCGCTATCGTGATCGGTGTCATTCAGCTTCTCACCCTCGTGCTCAACGTCGCCGAGCCGACTGGCAAATTCTGGGATGGGGTACAGACAGCCGGAGACTACTATGACGCTATTGGTGGCGGTATCTGCGGGTTATTTATCATCATCGGTGCTCTCAGTGTTGTCGTATACAAGCCATGGAGGAGATGGGTTGCGAGAAGGCACGGAAAGACCATTGTGACCGACGAAGAAGGGAACCGGGATAATGTCGCGGCACCAAGATCCGAGACTCCTATTTTGAGCGAAGAACGGGGCGGTGCTTCCGGTACTAGCTACGGTGCTGTCAGTAAGAAAGCTGCGTCTCAGGTTGCGGTGGAGCCGGTGGATGGACCTGCTTGAGGTGGATTGGAATAACATGCACACATGCATGCATGATGGCATGGGCTTAGAATTGGATGATGGAGGACTATACGAGAGTATGAAACAGTTTGATATATGCATAATATGACAAAATTAAAAGTGCGATTCTTCTAGCATACTGCACGATGCATTGCGAAGTTCATAATATAGATTGACTAGGGTTGCTATTTCCGGTAGATAAAGTCTGCCTTAGGCAGACAGGGGTTTCATGACATCATAGCCATTCATCCAAAAATCTTCAAGATGCGCAAGACGTGAGGCACCAAAAGCCACTCAAGATATTGTACTATAACGCCGACCTTTTGATACCTATCACTGATAAGCTACTGCAGCTGTGCTACTGGGAAACCTCTGCCAGTCGCGGGGTTCGTATCGCATAAATTTATACGAGGTTCGAACTTACAAAAATGTCTAAAGACTAACCCTTGACAACAATTCATCTCTTACTTGAAACTGCATGATGGCGGGCTAATAATTAACTTGTACTGCAGCACATTTATATTGACTCTCATACATCTATTCTTTATCGTACATATAATGCACTAACATATATACGGAGCGATGGAAAATAACATTCCGCCATGTCTGATGATTTATCCGACACCTCATCTTCATACGACGGCCACGGACCGAGCTTTTCGTCCTGTCCGGCCATCTTCGTGCTGCCTACTCACCTCAGTCTGGAATCACTGCATCAAATAGAAGAGAGTCTCGTCAGTCGAGACGCAAGCCTGACATATGATGCTTCCGAGGCGAGATTGATTCTCGGCAAAATCGGACAGAAGAAACGGGCCTCTCTGGAGCTACGATCCCGCGGTGTATGGACAGAGGACCTTGATCTTTCTACGTCCAGGCCCCCAGCGAAGAAAGCGGGCATCCATGAACCCACTCCGCGACCTGTGGAAATCGTCGCAGAGGTGGACGTAGTTGATCTCAGTACGGAGACGGAGAGTGAAGAAGACGGCGTGCGAAGCAAACATGGCACCGACAAACATTTAAAGCGACCAAGGCCAAGATCCGTATCAACCGATCGATCATCGGTCACTTCGGCCCAGCCGAGCTCGGACAAGCAGGCAGATATACTCCGTGTTGTCCGCCTAGAATGGCTAGACCGATGCCTGGAGTCAAAAGAGCTTGTACCCCTCGATCCGTTTGTGATATACCAAGCTCGCAAGGTCGAGCGCCCTGCCAGTAGACCCAGTGGCACAGAGGCAGAAGGCTCCCAAGCAAACGATATACTACAAAGGGCAAAGCAAGACACGCTATTAAAGCCGGCCCCAGCACAATCTAGCCAGTTTTCTCGCCGATCCCACGAAGCACCATCCAGCCAACATCGCCCACCAAAGCTATACCGACAGACTACATCCGAAAACGAAGAAACAGCCCCCTTACCACCAGCCCCAGACTGGGTCAAGAGTCATACCCTATACGCTTGCATGCGCTCCGCGCCTCACCACCCACCCAACGAAAGATTCATCAACCAACTAGTCAAGATCCGTACAGTCCGAGAGTTGACACTCGACGAAATTGGCGTGCGAGCTTACAGCACTTCCATCGCATCAATAGCCGCGTACCCGTACGAATTCCGCCGTCCATCCGAGATCCTCACCCTACCGGGCTGTGACGCCAAGATCGCCAACCTCTTCGCCGAATACCAGCAGAGCGAAGATGGCACCGTCGAAGCCGCGACGGCACTAGACACAGACCCGGTCCTCCGAGTCCTACACGAATTCTACAATATCTGGGGCGTGGGCGCCAAAACAGCCCGCGACTTCTACTACCACCGCCAATGGCGAGATCTAGACGACGTAGTCGAATACGGCTGGAACAGCCTCTCCCGCGTGCAGCAGATCGGCGTGAAATACTACGACGAGTTCCTGCAGGGTATCCCCCGCCATGAGGTCGAGGATATCGCCAAGATTATCCATCGACATGCTAACCTCGTCCGTCCCGATGCCCGGTACGACGGCCGTGGGGTGGAATGTATTGTGGTGGGTGGGTATCGACGGGGAAAGGAGGTCAGCGGTGATGTAGATCTCATCCTGTCTCACCGGGACGAGTCTGCAACGAAGAACCTGGTCGTTGATATCGTCGGGAGCCTCGAGTCAGAAGGCTGGATCACCCATACCCTAACCTTGCACATGACCACGTCCAACCGAGATCAGCAGACACTACCCTACAAGGGAGACGACACAGGGAAACATTTCGACAGTCTCGACAAAGCTCTCGTCGTATGGCAAGACCCGAACTTCGAGGACGACACACACCCCACCCCGTCGTCTGAAGCAGATGCCGAAGAGCAATCTCGCCAGAAACGGAAACGTAACCCTAATCCCCACCGTCGTGTGGATATCATCATATCCCCCTGGCGCACCATCGGATGTGCTATCCTCGGCTGGTCGGGCGATACTACCTTCGAACGGGACCTGCGCCGGTGGGCGAAGAAATCGCGGGGATGGAAATTTGATTCTAGCGGGGTTAGGGAACGCACCACTGGAGGACAAGTGATTGACCTTGAACAGGGGGGAAGAACGTGGGAAGAAAGGGAAAGACTGGTTCTGGAGGGGTTGGGGGTTGGTTGGAGGCCTCCTGGGGAGAGGTGTACCAGATAGTAGGGAGCATTATTCCAATGTATGTACATACACACTGTACACTAACATTCAAAACTTGGAAACACGATTCCTCATTCAAGTCTTATATTGTATACAGTATTGACAGGCAGAAAAATTAGACCGACGTTGGCACCGCTTTGTGATCTGCTCTTTTTGCCTTCCTTCCGTTATTTCTTACAGCCATTAGTTATACTGAGCTAGTTAGTCAGTTTAGCTTCGTCCATTCTATTGCCTGTTTCGTCGTTCTAATTGCCTTGCCATTACGTCCTTGAAGACCACGATTCAGAGGACGCGTTAAGGAGTTCGAGGATCGCGTTCATCAGTATTACATCGCTGATCCGGAAAGAGTGGCCGAGAGTATTTGAAGGTTGGCAGTTGCCTTATCTTGTGTTCTTTCCCTGCCACACGTCACGCTCTTTGCTGCCAGTCAAAAGCCCGACACATTCGCCCTGCATTCAGACCGTAAAGACTATCACTCAAGCATCAATGAAGCGGTCACGCTCTTGTTCACCTACATTGTTAGCTATAAAGCAACATAAGCCGGCTTCCCCAATCACTCGTCTAACATATAGTGCTCTCGAGGAGCACAATCACTATACCCCGTCTCTCCCCCCTGGTGCGCTTTTACAGAGGGCTTCAGGGGAGATGGTGCGCAGTTTATCAGATAATACAATAATGCCTCCTCCTTCCACACCATCTTCGCAAAAATCGCGATCCAGCAGTGTGCATAGATTTAGTGATGCACAATATCGCGGCGTCCACCTTCGGCGTGCAAAGATCTTCATGGGCGGCGAAATCCCCGCAAGTATCCGTTATTATGTCGATACAAGTGTTTTTTATAATTTAACCAGCTCTGACAATGATCATCTTCACCAAGTTTCGGAAAAGTTCTGGAGGAAGTCCATGGAACTTGAGAGCAGACCACACGGTGAAGCTGAATGGACAGCAGCTTTGTACACAGCCATCAACGATTTAAAATCTATTGGATTTGTGGCTGTTCGTAACCGTGGTAAGCTAGTACTTCTCCCAGTCGCATATTGAGGTCGGGCATTTTTATATCCTAACTCTATGGCATGGTTAGATTGGCAAACAGATTTAAAACCTCCAGTAGACAACCCTCGGCCTATTATTCTACGAAAACGAAGCCAGGTACATCAGAACCTGCAGGAGCATGCCGCTCCCCACAGCCTTTACCCTCCCCCGGATGCCTCACGTGCAATCGAGCCAGCTATTCCTGTGTTCAGGCTGAAGGATCCCCGACCGGATATAAGCGTCGGCCTATCGGACGGTATCTTAGCAGATTCCCTTGAGCTTGCGAAGGGCCGTGATATCGCACAAATACTCTTGCTTGATATGCAAGATATCTCTATGTTAATTAGTGACCCGCATGTTATCTGTTCGGGTCTTCGTTTCCCCTTTCTGATAGTCGAGACAAAGGCCGGTGCAACCGGAGGGAACCTCTACCAAGCCCAGAACCAAGCTGCAGTAGGTGGCTCAACAGCTCTTCTGATACTTAAACGCCTTTCAGATCTTCGGGATCTGAATAGAGAAAATCAAGATTGCGTTGTTGAAGCGAGTAATCAGTCCGATCAAGCTACCCCGGATATCAAGTTAAACATGGCCTTTTCTATTACTACTGAAGGGCCAATTCATGAGCTATGGCTTCATTTTCGAAATCCTAACGAAGAATTCCAGATGGTATGCATAGGGGGCTGGAGGACAACTTTGAAAGACGGGTCGCTGAGTTTCTTACGTCACCTTTCAGCTGTGTTGAGATGGGGTCACGGTGAGTTCAAAGACAGTCTAGTCAGCATTCTTCAGGATTTGTGAAACAATCCATACCTAGGACAGCTGGTTTCGAATCCTTGTCGCAAAGCTCAACTAGATCCATATTACTCAAACAGAGATTTATCTATATACGGGGCATTGAGACATGACGAGAAACACACCCCTTAAGAACAAACGTTCCAGCTCAACAAGGGCCATACTCTCAACTTGCTTTTTGTGCAGCTAAGGAGCGAGTATTAAACAATATTACTATATTCATACACTTGACTCCTGCTATAGTTTCTTCCAGTAAGACAATGTAACTTTGAGAGATAGAATCAGGCTTGTGTTAGTCTGAATCAAGCCTCATATATTACCTTGTGTGAAAAAAAACTCCTTCATAGAAGCATTCGCGACTTGTAGCCCCGGATATTGTACAGTAAGCTGCGAAATCAGCCTGCCCACCCAACACTCTTGTGGTTTCTGTAAATCCTTAGCTGCCGGATTACTTCGCGCTCTGCTATTATTGGCTAGCACGGGGGGTAAACCAGCTGTTGACAAGAAAAAATGATGGTAAACAATATCATGAAGGTGTCTATTATCCTTGGCTTCAATTTGCATCAGCCCCAGATTGACTTTTGTTTCGCCAGAGATAGTCTGCGCCCAAAGTCCCATATTGGCAGTTTGAAAGATCTTATCAGGAATAGTGTTTACGAAGGCGTAAATATCTCGGCCCTTGTATTCAGTTTCGATCTCATCGACAAGGGACAGGCACTCTTCAATGTCAGCTTGCATGCCGGACATCCTTGTGGTATGTCTAGGAAGCTGATGTAGATCATGTTATTGTGTAGGTGATCAAAAAGAAGTTAGAGGAAGTAGGCAAACCCAGTTTTCTTTTTCTTTCCTATTAGTCTCTTGAGGGCAGAGTGAATATAAAGCATGACTCTTTCAGTGGTGAATCTCAATCTAGTGGTTAATAGGCGCTGAAAGGCAACCTTCCTATGGCTGGCCTTTATTAAAGGGTCACGAGCGTGAGGGGCTCATTTCATGTGAGTCCCAACTCTTTCAGAAGAGCTGCTCGGTCATCCAGAAATACTTGGTATGGTGCTTTCGGAATTGTCCTCTCCTCATTCTCCCACACTTGATACCCCACCTCCTCCCATATTTGAAGTTGTCGGGTAAAATTAGCACTAGGTTTGACTCTCTGCTTCGACATAACGAATGCCAATGCATCTTCTCGCTTGATACCGTATTTGCGCATGAGATATGCAATAATCATAGTTGGAGAACGTGATATTCCCAAATCACAGTGAATCAATACAGCCCCTGGACGTGCGGCGCGGGAGTCATCACTCAGTTCGTACTCCTGTGCTCCTGGTAAAGTAGATGATGACCGTAAGGCTGGAGAAGCCATCTGTTCGACCCAGTCGCAGGTCTCGCTCATGTGAGTTAGAAGGTCCTGTGTCGATGAATCCGTACACTGGACCCTTTTGTGACGATGTTCTGGAACCACTTGTCTCGTGTGGCTCCTCCACTTTGCCCAGCTATCAGCACAAAGTGTGACTATAGCATCGATACCATGCTCTCGAAGCATATCTGGATTAAATGAGGCCTGGACATTACCCAGAACGAGACCAGGAACAATGTCTCTCATCCGGGCTTTATAAAACATTTGCCATCTCTTCTGCCGCTCCTCCCGCATCTTCTTCCTTGCTTCTTTTTCATCCTCTTCTCTTTTCTCTCTGTCATCCTGTTTCCCTGCATCAGGCTGCTTATTCTCTTTGCCAGTAGGCAGCTCGAGTGATGCAACCATTTTTTGTTCCTGTAGTCGGTGTAAAATCTGCAAGCTCTTAGTGTTTAGTATTCCGCAGTGGGATAGTATGAGTGATAATACAACAGCGGTTGAAAGGGGAACACTGCTCGAGTGGAAGGGACTATATAAGGAACAGGTAAGTGGCGACAGCAAAGTGATTGAGATATAAGGTCATTGTCACATTGAATCACGTGAAGGAATCTGTCACCTGTGGTCACCTGCCATCTGTCACCCTAACAAACCTGTACAGTGAATTGAGGTAAGTGAATCTTTATTGAAAGCTACTAAAGTATACCTAGTGTCAGATATATCTTAGACTGCAAGACAGGAGAACGTTGATTTCCAAATGTTCCGGTCCCTGTATAGTTGAACATAGTTGAACATATGTACAGATTAGGAGATAAGCACTAGTGATATACCAAGAGCAGACCTTTCTCTTTTGAACGTCTTCTAACCGGTAGCTTGGTTGATGATCGACAGCGCAGCGCCAACAGAACCCCGGCGGGGCTGAGCGAGGCTGACTCCGCACAGCACCTCAACATAGAATACAAACACAAGGACGTCGGGTCATAGCCAGTCTAATATAGTATGACCTAGTTGTTCCGACCGAACACCGGCAAGATCCGGGGTAGAATCACACAGCGTTGTTGGATATGCACGATACTGAAGAATCAAGCGATCGAGCCAGCATTGACAATGATGGTACAAGTTTGTCCGAGTCAAACGAGAAAGCAAGAAAATCGCAAACAGGATATGAATGGAGGAATGGAGCATCCCTTTGCCTATATGCTGCTGCTGCGATCCTATTTTTGAATATCCTCCTGACTATCATTGCCGCGTCGCGAGCCCAACAATCTTCCCGGTCTTTTGAAGCAGAAACAATCCTCGAGGGGAGTTGTGCAAAGGCCAAACGCTGGTCCACAGGATTCCATATCCTGATCAATGTACTTGGCACCATTCTTCTCGGTGCGAGTAATTACTGTATGCAATGCTTGAGTGCGCCCTCGCGTAGGGATGTCGACCGCGTTCATGCCCACGGCAAGTGGTTGGATATAGGGACTCCGAGCGTTACGAATCTGAGAGTCATGAGCTGGATGCAAATTATTATCTGGTGTCTACTTGTCCTGACTTCTCTACCATTTCATGTTCTGTGAGTTAGGGGAATTGTACCTCTTGATGGCAAACGCTGATGAAAATGCAGCTACAACGCGGCTGTTTTCTCTGCACTGTCTTCAAATGCCTATGGTGTAGTTGCAGTCCCCCCAGATGGTCGTATTGGATCGGCGAACTCAACCACTGGAGCCTGCTACAAGGGCCTGATGGGAAAAGACGTTGGACAGGTTCAGATGATGTACCAGGAAAAAGAACTCGAATTCTTAAGCAAAGAAGACTGCATCAAGGCCTACGGAGTAGCATTTCTGTCCAATCGACGGACCCTTCTTCTCGTGACTAACAACAATTCAGTCAGCTCACCAGGTCTATTTGTTGGTATTGGCAGCCCTCCAGCCCCGGTAAACGAGAATCAAGACCCGTTTGATTGGATGTGCAGTGGACCCGGTAGTGACTTGCATGGTGACTTCGGTTCAGGGACGACGCAGTGTCTTCAATCTGCTCTTCTTAAACATGTCAATGACTGGTCAGTAAGCGCCGAGCCCTTCAGCTACAACGATATTGTCGTCACTGGGACCGACTTTGCGTTTACCGGATGGAACTATTCCGACCTGCGATATTCATCTTTGCCACCGTTCATGTTGCTGGATATCATGGCTCTGGGAGCGTTTCTGAGATTGCAGGCTCCTTCCAATACCGTCAATGATACTTTGGGATTCATACAGAGTCAGAGCTGGAAGAACCCATCGTTTGAGTCCCAGCTCAATGTGTACATGTCTGACTCTGTCTGTGCGACTTACAGCCGCACACTGCCAGTCTTATCCTCGCAGAATTATCCGGTAGACTACTGCTTAAGTGAGAAAGTAGAGGAGCGCTGCCGAGTCATGTACAGTGCAGCGATTTGTCTACTGGTGATCGTGTGCAACGCTATCAAGGTAGTTTGCATTCTGTTCACTATCCGCCTGCGCCGCAAGGAACTGTTCTTCACTGTTGGCGATGCCATCGCATCATTCATGAAATATCCCGATCGAACCACACTTGGCAGATGCTGGGTAGACCAAAAAAAGGCAAAATCAGTATTTGCAAAGCCCGGCCCCGTGGAATCTAGAATGCTGCCTCCCCGGGGACGATGGCATCACGCAGTGGGCCGAAGGCGCTGGACACTATCCGTCACCTGGTAGGCCACCCTCAGCTTCTCCGGTGGTTATGGGATGCTAACACAAAGCTTTGAAAGGTGTCTTGTATGCCTCGCATGCGGAGCCATCGTCACAGCCATCGCATACACCGGTGTTGTAGAATACCTACCGAACGCCAGTATCTCCACAGTTTGGAGCCTCGGCTTCTCCGAAACACGTCCGGAGACGATGATCCGCTACTTGACAACATACAACCTCGTCGCCATGGTCGTTCTCTCCAATACCCCGCAAGTCATCCTCTCATCCCTCTACTACCTAGTCAACAGCATCCTAACCTGCATGCTCGCAAGCGCTGAGTACACCAGCTACTCGGTGCGTCGGCAATATCTCCGAGTATCCTGGCCGGAGGGCCAACAACGTTCCACGTATTTCCTCAGTCTGCCTTATGCATTCAGCATCCCCACCATGGCGATCTCAGCTACACTGCACTGGCTCCTGTCAGAGAGCATATTCTACGTTCGAATCTATCAATACGACCCAGTAGGGATTCTAGATGAAACCGAAACAATATCCACCTGCGGTATATCGCCCATCGCAATGATATTCACCCTTTCACTCGCAGGCTTGGCGCTGGCTATACTAGCGGGGCTAGGGTTCAAACGGTTCCCGGCTCAAATGCCCCTTGCCGGAAACTGTAGTCTGGCGATCAGCGCTGCCTGTCATCCTCCGTTGGATGGTGAGGATGCAGCCCTGAGGCCGTTGATGTGGGGGGAGGTTGTCATCTCTGGCGCTCCGGTGAACCAAGGAGGGGTTATACCTGGGGAAGAGTCGAGAGAGGAACCGGGCGAAGAAGGAAGACTTGAGGAGGAAGTGTTTAGAGATAATGTGGAGCTGGAAGAAAGAAGCTTATTACCGCTCATGGAGGGACAGGGGGCATCCATATTTCATTGCTGTTTTACGTCAAGGGAAGTTGAAGAGCCGGTTTCTATGAGGTTATATGTATGACTAGATATTACTTGTAGTTATAATATTTTATTACTGCTCCTCTGTTGGGAGTACCTATATATCGTTACCTCCTATAATACACGACGCTGTATACTAAGTGAATATACGCTCACCACAAGTGAGGCACTAGACCAAAGACCACAAGAAGAAGGAAGGGATCGATTGGGGTTCTGCAATGGAAGATGGTTTATATCAAATTGACACACGTCCAGGTTTCCATGAGAAGTTGAGGACCTGTCATTCTTATACTATCAGAATCACTACTGCCCGTAACCCTCTTCTGCATACAGCTGAGTTCCTCTAACCTGAGCCACTGCCGGCAGATATGAGTAGTTACGGTCTTGAGTAAAGCCTACTACACATCTAAAGGCTATTCGTGTCACTAGTGATTAATCACGAATCTGTAATGGTGGACTAGGCTTTTCGGGTATATCGATGCCGGTATTTGGGGATGATCTTTCTTTTTTTATTATTACATAGTTTGGTATCCGATCTGTAAGCCTAGACACTGTCGCCTTTTGAGTAGGGTCAAATCAGACTGATCATCTACCGTGGAGACCGACAGTAGACCAACTTAGGATATGGAGTTGGACGCGATTATACGAGTTTACTTGCATAAAGACAATCTCGACAGAAGATGGGCAATGCATCACCCATGTCTGTTTAACCTATCTAGACATCACAAGTCATCCATGTTCAAGAAAAACATCAACAAAGTGGTGTAGTCGAGGAAATTGATATCACAAAATTCAGGATTTTCACATTGACTCATAGAGAAAATAGGAAGGGGGAACATAAATAGTTAAAAAGCAAAGAGTAGGACCATCGTGTAATGTAGCCCAAAAATGAGAGATAAGAAGATGAATGGTGAGGCTAGCAAGAGAGAGCTAGATAGAGAGTGATAAAGGGAGGTGGGTCATCAGACCACCGTAAATGCAACTAATACATGGATGCAATGAACAGGAAAGAAAGTAGAAAAACAAAAATCAGATCGTTATACTAAGGCTCTGGAACTGGTCATTTCACCGTAGCGCCCTCTTCCTCTCGTGGTATCATAAGCATTGACGACTCTCATTTGGGCGCCATCATCAGCCTGACTGAAAGCATAGCCGCGCTGTTTGCGCATGCGCTGAACCTGGCGCACTTTGCGGATTGCCTTCTGGAACTGTTCCATGCGTGGGCGGTAGTCTTGTACATTATACTTCTGTATCTCTTGGACGTGGTGGTAATGTTGCGGGTAATACATTCGCTTGGCGTATTTCCAGGCGTAGTCCCGAAGAAGACAGACACATGGTAGGATGATAGCCATGAGATAGAAGATAGGTGACTTGAAGAGATGGGGAATGGTGCCGTAGTACTCTGTGGAGAAGCCGATGGCGGGTGCGGCATAGCCATACGCTGGAAGAAATGCTAGCCAGATAACCATTGATCCGGGGATAGCGATGAACGTGTATTTGGTCCAAATGTTGGTGATCAGTGCCGCTTTCCCAAGGACCGTGGCAAGGACTGCCGTGTACAGGGCAGATCCCCATACCCAATGGCCAGCAACCTTGCCGTCTACTTGCGGAAGATCCCAGAGGAAAATCAACTCCGAGACAATGTACAGTAGCAAGGAATGGTAGAAACCATTTAAGATCCACGACCAGAAACTGTGTCTTTTGAAGAACATCCCTTTTTGTCCAAGCTGGTACAGCTGAGGATACCGGTCCAATAATCGAGCAGAGATGAACTGATCACAGATACCCATCGCGAATGGAGGGAGCACTGTGAAGAAGACGTTGTAGAAGGACAGGGTCCATGACTCGTAGATAACTTCGCCAGAGAAAGCATTTTGGAAGGAGTACTATGTCTCTGTCAGCTGCATTCAGGGAAATCAGTGGATGAGAGGTCAAGCCATCACCTACCCAGAACTGTGTCATGTAAAGAGCGATATTCTTGTAGAAAGAATACAGAATCACACGGCTGATTCTGTGGTAACTCCACGCCCCATGAACAAGGAGGAGTTTGCGGAGATAACGGAACTGGGCTATAGACACATCGGCAGACCGAGCAGCTTGGAGACCTTCAAGGCCACTAATACCAACACCAACATGTGCGGCCTGAATCATGGACACGTCATTCGCACCGTCACCGATAGCGAGAAGTAAGGATTTGAGGTGACGCTTGACCAATTTGACTACCAGGGCCTTCTGCAAAGGAGAAACACGGCTAGGAGCCATTAGCATTAGACAGTCTAATAGAAGCAGACTATGACAACTTACCAGCAGACTACGGCTTTACACTGAATAGCAAGGTCCAGGAAGAGTTTTTCCATGTCCTTCTCTAACGCAAATGTCAGAGAGCGTCCGTCGATAACCAAAGCTAACGCTTCAATTTCGCCCGAAGCATTCTGGCTCTGAACAGCCTGCAGCTTCTTGGTTAGGTTTTCTCGGGTGGCTTGAGAAGACTCTTCATTAATAATTAGTAGCGTCATGTCTTCCGATATCAGCTTGCATGACATTCCAATATTGATAGCAGTCTCCTGTCGATCACCAGTCAAAACCCAGACTTTGATTCCCGCAGTCTGTAGCGTATGGATAGTGTCGGGAACTCCATCCTGCAGTCGATCCTCGATAGCGGTAGCTCCAAGAAGGTAAAAGTCTTTTTCGATAAGCTCTGAAGCCTTGTCGAGCTCGTCTGCGCGGTTTCCACCAACAGTTGTTGCAGCCTTATCGTATATTTGGTACCACTGTTGGAATTCTTCCTCAGAAACTTCGCGCATCGCCAAACAAAGAGTCCGGAGACCTTCCGAAGCATATTCTTCCAGGTGTTGCAAAGTCGCCTCGACGATAGGATTGTCGGCATTAAGTCGCTCAAGGATGACGGTGTCTGCACCTTTGGTGTAAATTCGGATCTTCCCATCTGGACACCTGAAGATCGTTGACATTCGTTTACGCGTCGAATTAAATTCGCAGACAGCCAGCAGCTCATATTCATACTCATGCCCCCCTACTGTGAAGAGCACGGAGCGAGGTCTCCGATTTGTGAATTGGTAGCCCAACGTCGCAGCACCTTCAACGAGAGCGCCCTCGTCAGGAGAGGCTGCCTGGTACTTGATTTTGTCAGGTTCCTTTTCAGATCTTTCAGGGATAACAGTGTGGCAGGTAGAGAGAAGTGTGAGAAAATGATGAATCGCATCTGCTGTCGGATGACCTCCTTGTAGGTTCTCCCTGAGCTTTTTGAAGTCATGTACCCCGACTTCCACTCCGTCTTCTACAGTGGCTCGTCGATCTTCTGAGATGTCTTCACCATATTGGATGCCGCCAATTGTACACTGCTTGAACTCCATCATGTTGCAAGTCAAGGTTCCTGTCTTATCTGAAAAGATGTACTCTATCTGCCCAAGTTCTTCGACTAACGATGACGTTCTACAGGTTGCCGGAGTGTCGGTTTTGTCGTAATAGATATCGAGGTCAGAATTGATTAGGAACGCCTGGGCGTACTTGACGATTTCAATTGTCACGAAGAGCGAGATTGGGACAAGATTGGAATAAAGGACCCAATAGGTAAATATATCGAGGAAGAATTGCTTTACTGCGTTCGTACTGCCATAGTCAAGGTAGGTGAGTTTGTCGGCTGCGGTTTGTCGGATAATAAGATCGCCAACAGAGCTGATAACACTAAGAGCGATTAGAATGCTGACCAACATCAAGATCTGAATGTTGACCATGCGCTCTACGGCCGTCCGCTTGATCGGAGTCGCTGTCGCATTTCGCATCAGCTTCGTCTCATGGCCAGTGAAGACGACAATACCGTGAACCCACGGCGTGTTTCGCAGGGTAGCTCCTCGAAGAAGAAGTTGGTCCGGTGCTAGAGGGAGTTCCTTTTCCCCTCCTCCCGCATGCATCGTCAGGGTAGCTTCATAGGTGTAAAGACTGCTATTCGGTTGCTCCGATCGAACCCGGCCACTCAGCCGGCTAAGATCAGCGGGGCTTACCAAATGTGCAGTCTCCGGAATTGCCTGCTTAATTTTTAGGTTGGTCTCTCCATCTAAATTGGCGGTTTCGATGTAGCACAAGCCCTCAGGTTCAGAAGACGCCAACAGAACCAAATCGGCGGGAAAGGGCTGCTCTGACTCAACACGAACGATATCTCCCACCGCGACATCGATCCATTTCGTTTCGTGGAATGCTGATCCTTTCAGAACTTGAGTCTTCGAGTAATTGAGGGACTTGTCAGACGAGCGTCGTTTATAGTCTTCTACAAGTTCCTTAATAGCAGAGACCAACAGCACGATCAACAACGGACCAATTGTGGTGTAACGATTTGTCGGCGACACGTTTGGAATTTGCTGGAGGACAGCAGTGAACAAGAAAAACAGGTTGGCGTATTTCGAGAACTGTTCGTATAAGAACTTCGGAATAAAGGTGATGATGTTATACTTCGCGGTAGAGACGTGGTTGTCGACGAACTTATGCACCGCATTGGCCGGGGGATTGTTCAGCACGATCATGCGAGGTCCAAGTGTCGAAGGGTCGACCTTCTTCCGCCCGAACCCAAACTTGAAATCCGACTTCCTCGACTTTTTCTGACTTGGGGGGATGCCTCCCTCGGCGTGTTCGGTGCTGTCAACTCGTGCCGCCCTTGCACCGGCCTCTGTGAGAGGAAGGTTCATGTCCGAGTATTCCTGACCCATGCCCAGCATGTGCTTTGCTCTTCCCATTAGCCCCCCTCCCAAGCCCAGTATGCTATTCCGTTGATTCGCCTCCTGTACGCGATGTTCGGACTGCATATAATCATCATGATCATCCACATGGTAGTACCCATCATCGTATTCGTCAACGGAGTAGCGCCGGTAGTTGTCCAAGCCCGAGGTTTGAGAATAGGTTCGAGATACATTGGCGGCCCCCATGTAAGGATCGCCTATGTACGCCCCGGAGTGCGGCGGAGGGTGCGCGGAGACTGTCGCATGGGCACCGGAGTGCGGCGGCGCCTGTCCGCCGACAAACTGGTCATAGGAAATTGAAGGTCGCGCCTGGGGGTAATCGGAGTCATCGATATTGTACTGTTGCAACAAATGGTCGTCGTTGACGGGCGGGCGCTGTCCAGAATTATACATAGGGGTCGTGTCCTCCAGCTGCAGCAGGTCGTCATCGCGGCCAGCGGCTGGGTGGTGACCGGGAGGTCTACCGCTGGCCATGATGCTCGAGGCGGGTAGACACCGTCAGAGCAACGTTATGCCCCTGGAGCATTGATCGACAGTGAACGAGGGCAGGAAAAGGAGCGAGACGATGCAAGTATGGGACGACTACAGACGACGATGTTTGGAATTGCGCAAGGGGAGTGCAAGAGAAAAAGCAATAATCATGAAACTCGAAGCGAATGGAAACCGAAGGTGACAGAATGGAGAAGGAAATCTGACGACTGCCTGGAAGAAGGTTTATTATTCGTTGGGATGCGGCTTGACGCTAGTCTTTGGGCGGTGTTGTTTTGGATCTCCGTCAGTGGCTGGGGGGGGTTTTTTCCTTTATTTTTGGGGATCGTCCCTCGTCAGTAATACTACGCAGTACTAACTACTAGTAGTAGTATGAGATTAGTCCCTGCGTTATTCTGACTTGGTACGCATTAATTCTTTCCTGTCAGTTCAATTCTTTGATTATTAAAAATAGGTAACTAAGAACTGGCAAGATAAACTAAGGAAATTAATTCGTTCCTGTCTCGCCAATGGTTGTAAAAATAAATCCATATTAAGCGTCCCTGCGCCTCGACGATGCGCGTCTCGCTCCCCACTCCGCCATCCCAAACTACCACTATTCTTTATTAACAAGACGACAAGAGATCTCTGGTATGCACCTGTCGGAAATTTTCCACTTAACGTGGCTGACAACTGCCACTTGAGATAGATTCTTCGTATTTCCTGAAATACTTGAAACATGACCAAGCACAACGAACATCTCGCTTGGTCATGTTTTATACATCATTTTAAAGGATTTCTAATTAAGTCGACTTGTATCCCGAATAGCCCTTCAAAGGTCTGTTAATTCGTCTATATTTCTCCCGGCCTTTCTCAACCCTCCCTAGACTGGGCCCGATATAACCGACCTTAATTTCTTGATACACACCAACAAGCATTAAGCCCTCTCTACCCAAATACTAGGTTACTCCCAATTACCCTAACGCATACCGTTTGGGTATCTCTTGAAGAACGCTTGTTAGGACAGGAGCCGTAGCACTCGCATGTAGAGCTTCTCCGATGTAGATGTGTCCGGTGATACCTCTCAGTTCATTTACGAGAACTCTTACAATTCAGAAGTCACCGTGGTGCCTGGGACTGTAACGCCGAGCCAGCTCTAGAACGTCCGAGAATGCCGAGTGTTGGGTTTGCATATTTAAATTAAATCTGTCATTTTTCTCTCCACCGTGGGTCCAATTTCACTTGAAACCAGATGGGAAATACAGTCCCACTAGTGATTGCTGCCTGGTCGCAACTCCAAGCACCCTATCTATGGTGTAGAACGTCTGTATTCAAGGACGCAAAGGGGATAGAAGAGAAAGACAGAAGCCCAAAACGGCAGGTTACTGTCTATGTAGTACGGTCTTTGATCATTATTTGAGAGGACAAATGCCGAGAACACACAAAATAGACTCTGGTATTGATATCTATGATACAACAAATCCTAAGCGTATTGAGCACTTTGACTCTAATTGGAAGAAAAAAAAAAAATAGACGAATGTTATGGCACATGTCTACCGATCGTTCGCCGCTCTAGACTCCTCAATCAAACTACCCTTAGCCCGTTTTGCGAGGTCAGCTTGTAGCGCCTTGTCAATGATGCCGTTGATCTCCTTCACTTTCTCAAGTGCGACGGATGACTTATTCACGAACACCATGGCACTGACTGGGGACCCAGAGAACTTCGAGAGGTAGCATACATCGCCTGCATTATTCAGGCCCATGACCACATCCGCCTCAGAGGCCTGCTCCTCTTTCCGAGTGGCATCCACAATGACCCGCTTTCCTTCATCATAAGTATGGAATGTGATCGATAATGGTTTGTGTGTGATATTCAATGCGACTGGGACGCGCTCGTCGACTCCGTAGACGATCACTTGACCGTCCTTAACGACGGCATCTGGCCGACGGAAATGCTGAAGACCCGCCATAACTCCAATACAGGCCGCATCAATCAGGTTGCCATCGTAGTCTGTGATGTGCACGTCTGCCCGAACATTCCAGCAGCTGACACCCTTCAAAACGCAAAGCGATTCGGTATCAAGGGCGTTCGAGTGACGGATTACTCTGTCTAGGACGTTGGACACATATGTCTCAAGGTCACCCTGTCTATTGTCCCAGGCTATATTAGCTACATATCTCCCGGCATTGTGAGCTGGACATAAACGTACCGGCCATTCTCCCAGGCGGGAGAGCCCATAGCGGTCAGCTCCAGGGCAATGGTAAAAATACCATCGAAGGGACGATCATCATGGGGTTTTGTAACTTCAGACGAGATGCGGACAATGAGACTGTAAGCTGAGATTAACGTCTATCTCAAATAATTAACCTCGGGCAGCACTAACTCACCTGGTCTTGCCAAGTTGGACCTTCACATGCCCGTACTCTTCGCCGAACGACACATTCAAGGGACGAAATTGATCGGCCTGGCGGCCATCGAGTCTTACATCCTCACGCAGAGCATTGAGGATGAAGTCGCGCTCGGCAATTGAGAGCGGTGCTTCTTTGTTCATGGTTGCGGAGGCGGACTCGGCCCCAGCGGGGTCAGCAAGACGGACTTTCTATAGAAATTTCCTGCACTCCGCAGCGTCATTGATGAGCGGGCCAAAGTTGTTCCTAAAGATGTCGATCATAGTAATCCAATCATATGTAGTGTACTCCAAAGGCGGTGTGCACTCGCTGATTCAGCCTCCAACCTGAGGCAGTCCGCGGAGTGGTGCTTCAGCGGTCATTCATCTTTGAACAAACCATCGGAAACTTCCAAAACGCAGATTCTGTAGCCCACCATGACTACAGGTGAGAAAAACTTAAGAAAATAATATCGCAAAGGCATTGCGCTAATCCACATATAGCACACAGACCCACATTCGATCCGGTATGCGTCTACTTCTATCTAGGAATACTTATCCATAGACTCACGGAGAACAGGCACAAGGGAAGGAAGCCTTGCGCGGCCCTGCCTACCACCAGCGACTGCTCCCAGCACATACGCACTTGAAGACTCGGTAAGTCGGTTTCGTACTGTGGGTGTGATAATCTCTAATATGTTCAAGTCAACTCGGTCAGGGTGGTGAAGGCGAAGCTCAACAACGCGATTTGCGCGCCGAATTGCTCCAAGCCGAAGCCGCTCATTTTGCGAAGAAGAGGGGTATCCCCGTGGATGAACCAACTGTCGATAGCGCAGCACCCAAACGCCAAATAGAAGGTGGTTCATCTGGCGGCGATCCAATTGGGACGGAGGATGAAGATCCGGAAGCCAAACGGCGGCGAATACTAGAGGAGACGCGGGACATAGATGCGGATTCGGATGGGTCAGAGGATGACAGTAGTGAAGAAGAAAGGTTTGTCACTCCAATACGCAAGCACGTCAGCTATGCTGATAAATCTTTAGTGATGATGAAGATGAGGCCGCCGAGTTGATGCGAGAACTAGAAAAAATCAAGAAGGAGAGACAAGAACAGAAGGAGAAAGAAGAGCGCGAACGTGCTGCTGAAGAGGAAGAGAAACGGGAATATGATATTGCTAAAGGAAACCCGCTGCTTAACGCTCAGGACTTTAACTTGAAACGTCGCTGGGATGACGACGTGGTTTTCAAGAACCAAGCCAGGGGAACCGAGGATAAGAGAGGAAAGGAGTTTGTCAACGTAAGCTCGTCCAGTGTGGCTGTTTTTACTTGTCGCTAATTACATGCAGGATCTGTTGCGGTCGGACTTCCACAAGAGGTTTATGGTAGGTTACACCTAGTCATAAAAACTTGATGTTTCTACTAACACATACGTGTAGGGCAAGTACGTCAGATAGGTTGCCTACTGCAGTCTATCCAAACCAAATATTGGATACACCATCGCAATATAACGCCATTGATACAAATGCAAAAATGGCTCAACGACATTTCGATGGCTTGGTGAGCAGTCATGATATAATTTCCTGGCGCCGAGTCGATGCCTACGCCATATACTGCTCTCACATACCAGCTCCTATATCAGGCAGAGTTCTGCTAATCTAACTGCGTGGGAGGCTTATCTGGAACAGGTGGGATGCAGTGGGCAAGGTTGTCGCACTGAGATTGGAGTGCAATGGTTCAAGTGCTCCATTACTGGAGCCAAGTCCATGAGAATCATTGAATGTCACTGGGATTATTCATAGTCTGCATCGTTTTCATGGTTTGCCAGATGTCTTTTCCCTGCTCAACTACCGGCCATAGTTTTACCGGCCATAGTTTACAACCAAACTACCTTAACAGCTAATGTACATTGAAACTGCAAGCACCTCTACACATCCATATCGAATAGAAAAGTAATTATGCATCAGTATTGCTATATCCTCAGCTCATGTTCGAAGCGCTATAACCCAGCCAAGCATGATCTACGTGTAGTACATCTTAATCAAGTAATGATCAGCGGATACAATAATGTCGGCAATAACCTCTACCGCCAGGCAAGCCGCCTTCATCGCAAGATAGCTATTATCTCTATCAGTTATCATTCCGACATCTATCTACTAACAAAAATATCATCACTGAATAGCTTGCCCTAAGAGAGCAAAAATGGACTCTCAACCAACGTCCAAGGCATTGCATTGTGCGCAACCCATACCACCACCTTGACATATATAAAACATCGTTGTTCATTCACCATCCGCATTTCTAATCAACATACTCCGCAGACCGCATCAACACCAATATCTCCCAATTACTTCAAAGATTCGAGAATATAATGGCAACAGCAACAGTCTGTCTCCTCTTTGCACTATAATGATCATCTGAACTGACGCCAATGACACACAGGTCGAGAGTACTAGCCATACTTCAACAGCAGTGGAAACATACCAACTTGACGTTGAATCAACTGCTTTGGTATGCATACGTACATCCATATGCTTACCTCGTGCAGGCTTTGACAGCGCTAGTTTCTGTCGCTAACTCTATCAACCACAGGTCCGCGCCGCCGAAGATATTCTCTCTTTGACCCGTACAATGAAAGAAGCCTGGCTCTTTGGAAAGCTCAACACTCTTGGCGAAGACGAATCGGATGTGAAGCGGCGAGAGGAGCTAGAGAGGGATGCAGATGCTATCCAGAAAGCCATCGAGGAAGGTGGCTTGTTGAAGCCGGCTAAATGATCTTTTGATGACATGTGAGTTCTGGTGTTATTCTGAGCTTTTGCTCCGGCATGGTTTCATAGATACTGCATTATTGGCGTCTAGGAGGGGCTTTTATTATTTCTCTTGTACATTATTGCTTGTATTGTAGATACCCATCACTACAATTTCGACTTCGTGCTAGTTCTTTCTGATTTTTTTTTTCTTTTTTTGATACAAGAGTTATTATGTCTTCCTTGCGTTCACTACGCAGGGCTGTCAATCCACCGACAAGCTATTGGCGATATCGCTATCGAAGCTGAAGCGTCTCTGGACTCCAATACTCCCAGCTATCTACCGGCAACGGGCCTACGAGTATCCTATTGCATGGCCTTCTCTTTAGCTTGCTGGAATTAATGAGTGGCCTTGCTAATGCTGGTATTGACACCACCGATAAAACTGGCTATCCAGCAATACTTGGTAGCTTATGCCACTCACAGTCAGCAGGGGCTAACCCCATCATCCAGCTCCACGGGCTTCATCGCCTGGAAAACCCAAGCGAGCAGTATTGATCGCTCTCAAGCATCTTCGACGAAATGACTTGGGCACCTTTCGTCGATCAATCTCAAAGACCCAGTTATCTAGCAAAGCATACATGTGATGGCTTAAAAAAAAAACTCTGTTTCTTTGCCCAGCATTCCATTGGGATTCGATATTAGCCTACCTGTTCTACTTGATAAGCCACCGCTATAATAGAGTGTCAATCTCTTAAGCAGGATCATCTGAACATGAAAATGGTTCACAACAATATATATACTACTTTATCTCTACTTCCCCACCTTGCTTCCTTTGTTCTCCTTTTTATGACTATGGACCCTCTGTTATATGTAGACGGCTTCGGCGGAGTGGAGCGTGCTTTATATGGAAACAGACCCTCAAGGTACGGAGTATATTACTCCGTACACCACGAACTCTTTCGTCTCACTGGAAAACTGATATTGTAGGGACTATGGTTCTTGACAAGGCACGGTGCCACTCACACTTTCGTAATTATAACAGAGCACATTAGTCCGGTGTAGTATAGTAGTATAAGGCTATACTAGTACGGGGCGTCGGGCAACGGGGCCAAAGCAGAAGACGTTTTTGGGCTCTAACTCAAGGCTATCCGTCTCCCAAGAAACAATATTCTTGGTATTTCTACCCTAAGCCCTATCGCAAGAACAAAGGAGGCAGTATTATAAAGGCAGACACAGTCTACAATACGATAGGGGGGTGATTACCTGTCGTTCCTACTAAGATCATTATCTCCGGATATCTAAGTCTACCTAGCCAACTCGTCAGAGGATTTGATTCTACTTCCCGTCATCATCATCATCATCAACAACCTCGTTAACCATGTTATTTACTCAAAGTATTCTCTTCGCGCTCGCCTTCTGGCACGCAGCCCCGGCACTTGCCGTATCTCTGCCCTCTCCGCAGCAGGAACTCGAGTATGAGACCGATCTCAACATAACCGAAAGCAACCTCGCAACACGAGACCTCGAGAAACGGCGGGAATTCCCCATCACAATGTGCCCTATCCGGTGGATCGGCAACTACCCATACTGCCCTTACAGCAACGGCGAAGCAGCCATAGACGCATGGCTCCACCCAATGGCAGCCAAGATCAAGGAGCTGTCGGACGGCAACGTATGCACAAAAGAATGCGGCCAGACCGAAGACTTCAAGTGGTGTTTCACGTCCCATACCGAGGGCTATTTGTGCGATACCGATGCCTCACTCAAGACCATTCAAGGCGCCCTCAGAAAGACCATGAGGGATAGGGCATATTGGATCTGTGAGCAGGAGTGCTTCCGGCTGTCTCACGGTGGTACCTGGCGTGGATCGCTCCTTATCGGGCGGAAGGCCACCTGGGATGATGAGTACTACTGCGGGCCTGCGACTTGGGATGAAAAGTTTGCTAAGGGAGATAAATGTATCTCGGGGGGTAAGAAGGATCTTTAGGCTTTAGCTGGGGGTAGCGAGCGGCATTTCTTTGGGTGTTGTTGGAGGGATTGTTGTTTGCCAATTGTGCTTTAGTTGTTTCGATTCTTCTTCTCTTCCTCCATCCTTTCATATATGGAGATGGAGAGAGGGTGCAGTATCCATATTGCATTGTACTTTTAAATATATATTCCTTCCGAAGCGCTGCTTTCATTCGTGCCATAGGTTGCATAGACCTTACCATTTTGTCTTTCATGTATGGGAAGATCATTCAATATCCCTAATTTCATCATCTTTCCAGATAGCCATGGGGGTTTCTAGCCATGTGTGCAATGATATGTTGCCACGTGCTACTATAGCTCGAGTGTCTTGCGGTTCGATGAATTCAAATAAATGTATATAAATAACACATGAGTAGATCAACCATATTCAATTTCACCAATTATTGTAATGGCAAGAGTAGACAAGTCCCTTACTTTTAATTTACATGCCCTTATTCAAGAAATGCCGAATGGTAGTGAGAAACAGTCTGCCAGAAATACTGTAGTCTGTATCGATTAGTGCGAGCGATAAGATAGTGAACAGTTCATTGTCTGGCAGAATAAATTGAACACACCGTCAGTTACACCACTGGATAGTGTATCTTCAGGAATGCTAGGTTTCCAAGGTTTCTACGCCATCCCGAGCGATTGTTTTTCTACTAAAAAACCTCAGTAACTAGCTTACTATATAGTTATTATCCCATACTAGTTTTAGACCGAAATAGAATTGTTTAGCAGAGATATTATTATCTCAAAATCAACCAAAAACACCCCTGTCCCCGGTCGGGGACTCAAATCAAACCATTGAAGACCGCCTTCCAATACAAACATACACCGCCAACAGTAGTAGGCGGTCAATGTCGCGGTACCTGACTCCACCCAGAAATGTCCCGATAAGGCAAGCGTGCACCAACACAGCTCCAACTTATACAACCTGAACAACGACTCTATGACCTACCTCTAAGCATAACGACCTAATCATACAGCAGCCAAATCCCCTCAGCACCTCCCCTAACCAAAAAGTCCAACCTCCCAATCAATATCACCCTTGCAAGAAAAAAAAAAGCTACCAACTCCCTACCAACCCCCACCAAGCCAACCAAAAATGCCACCAACAAACCCCCTCACCCTAATAGTCGCAACTACGCCGATTCCTACACGTGAAAAAACCCTCCTCGGAATCGGCCTGAATGGCACGCTCCCCTGGCCGCGCATAAAAGCTGATATGAGCTTCTTCGCGCGCGTGACATCCCGTCCCCCGCGCTCAGGGACAACAAATGCCATGATCATGGGTCGGAAGACCTACGATTCCGTGCCTAAGAGTCTGCGGCCGCTGGGGAAGCGGATTAATGTTGTTGTTACGCGGGATGTGGCGGGTGTGAGTAAACGTGTCTCGGAGGAGTTGGAAGGGAAGAGGGCGAAGATGGCGGCGACTGCAGCTACTGCAGCTACTTCTGCTGGGGAGAACAAGGAGGGGGGGCCGGTTACGGATGCGATTGTTAGCTCTGGGTTGGAGGGGGCGCTTGAGGACGTGGAGGGGAAGTTTAAGGGGGGGCTGGGGAGTGTTTTTGTGATTGGGGGTGCGGAGATTTATGCGGCGGCTTTGAGGTTGGGAGACGATCGGCCAGTTAGGATTGTCATGACGAATGTTGAGAAGAAGGGGGTGGATGGGGAGAAGGCACAGTTTGAGTGTGATACTTTCTTTCCGGTTGATGAGGAGCTGCTCATGGAGAAGGGGTGGAAGAAGGTGAGTGCGGAGGAAGTGACCGAGTGGGTGGGCGAGCCTGTTTCGGGGGAATGGAAAGACGAAGGTGAGGTTCGAATCCAGATGGTTGGATATGAACGGATCTATTGAAGTTGCAGGCACTGTGCATGGTTTAGCCTCTCTTTCTCTTGTAAATACCGATAGCATTCGATTGCTTTGGGCAATGATAATCTATTTACGGCGAGCCTTCCCCGCTTGAAGTTCAATGTTAGGCATCTGCAGTCAAAGAGGCGCTTGCTAATGAAGGCATGTCAACAAAAACAAGTCTTGAACTCTATCAAGCACAATAAAAACATACAGGCAACCTCCGCTGATATACACTTGGTAGTAGAAACAGTGCTAAGAAAAATACAGTTTATAGTATGTGCATAATGCTCAAGCTCAAAATATATGCGAAATAAGAAAAATGCTACCCGTGACCAGGAATGTGCGCAGGTACCGAAACATAACGCCGGACAATGCTTTGAAGTCGTTGACAATATGTATACGGCTGTGTTCTCTTTTGCAGCAAGCGGATCAATCTGCTTAAAGAGAATCACTCATTCTCCTTCATGAACTTCACGAAGGCCTTCTTATGGACCAGACCCGCGTACTGTCCGTTTTGAAGGACGCACAGGTATCGTAGGCCTAGTTTAGCGAAACACTGGTAAACAAGGTCCAGAGGTGAATGGATATCAAGAGACATAGGGGCCTGTACATGCATCAGCTTGTGAGGAGACATGGAGACTTGTATCTACATACCGGATCAATATAGCGGTTAAAGTCCACTCGAATGGCCTCTTCATCATCACTGTCGGACACAACCGACATCGTATCTAGCGTCATCAGACATAACGTATTTTCTTCGTCCTCGAGATTGTCCAGCGCATATTCGAGGTCCGGGGCCGGGATCAACCCAGACAAGATATCGTGACGTAAGATGGGGAGGCCACTATCTAACTCTCCTGCCATGAGAAGAGTTTGAAGTTTGGAGCGCAACTCTGTCGCTGGTACGAACGGAGAGTCTGAGATATCAATGATACGACCCCTGCGTACAGGTCTCACGAGGTCTCCGAGCTCTGCGTCTGATACAACCTGTATCTTGTTATCAAGGAACGGGTACGAGTTCATATCAGTTAAGAGATCCTGTCCCAGTCAGCATGTAATCCAGTAGCAGAGTACCTTGAGTTTCTGTCAGTGCTTACATAGATGCTGCGGGGCTCAATCGCATCAGCAGTCCATTTGGCACAAAGGATGGCCAGGGAAAACGGAAGGACATGGGCAAGACTGCCTGTCAGTTCAAAGAGAATGACGGCCAATGTAACCGACAAGCGGGTGACACCACACATGGTAGCCCCTGCGGCAATCATCGCATACACCCCTGGGGTCACACACGATTCCATTCCCGACACAGCCGGGCAGGAGGACCCAAACAAGGGGAACGTTGGGTATTTCACCACGAAGTACTGTGCCACATGACCAACGATCCGCCCCAAGAGACCACCAACAACCATGGACGGAACATAAATACCCGCTGGCACTTTAATGCCGAATGTAACTACCGTTAACAGGCTTTTGACGACGAATGCTACAAGAAGGTAGCGGATAATGTCGACAATGCCATCTTCGTTTGGACACAGTCCATTTGGCGATGAGGATTCATGATCGCAAGGACTGGCCAGCTCGAACAGAAGTTCAGATACGGCCAATTTAGTATAGCGATTCCAGAAGCTGACTAGACCAGTCACAAGCGCGACAAGAACTACCTCCAGCATTGGCCAGCGCTTGATAACTGGGATTCGTCGGAATGAGCGAGCCCATAAACTAGATGCCTTGATGAAAAGTGCCCCAAGCGCGCCTCCAAGTACACCCAAAATAATGAATATCACTAACTCAAAGATCTCCCAATCGTTGAAATATCGAACCTCGAATAGGACGATCTTACCCGTCCCATAAGGATTGAGGAATTTCAGGGAGAGCGCTGCAGCAATACAGCAGAAGAATGTTCTAAAGAGCGTCTTTGGAGGGAAATAGTAGCTAACTTCCTCAAGACTAAAGAGAACACCACCAATGGGGGCACCAAAAGCTACTGCAACACCACTCGCAGCGCTTGCGCTCAGCACCTCTCTTCTTTTTCCATCATTGCGATTGTATTTGGCGAACAAACGACAGCAGATGTTTCCCACGCAGGTAGCGATGTGGACATACGGACCCTCCTTGCCTAAACTTAGGCCAGATGACACACTGAAAATCAAAGCAATGGTCTTAATGACCAGCGTTTTGAAACCCAGATATCCGTGCAAGACGAAACCACTGTTGATGACTTTCACTTCCGCAACCCCGCTGCCCGCCGCAGAATAATAAACCATATCAGGACGTGTGGGAATCGCCGAGTAAGGTGCCCGCGGGCTAGTATCGGAGCTTGGGGTGTCAGCAGCTGCATCGGTACGTTTCGTACTGCGCGACGAAGCTGCACCCAAATTTTCATCCAACGTCGTTAGAGAGACCGACGAAGGAACAACCGTCTTCGTTAACAACGTGAGAAAGCAAGAGACGACGGACAGGATAACTACCCAGGCCACGTACATGCCAAAGTCCGTCCACTGATTTTCCGTGCTCGAGAAGGTTAGCATCTTGGACCATGACCACCATGCAGAGCACACAGGATTGTCCACACAGCATTGTTGGCGGCTACGGAACCATCGCGTGGTACAAATGCCTTCTTTGAGATCATACACAAAGTCTTCGGTTACGTCCACGAAATAGGCGATCGCGCCGTGATACAGCCGATTAGCGCGACGAGAACCCAGCCCTGAGCACCATCGAACCATGCTAGGAGTCGACCCCGGAGGTCTCTCCGCGCCCGCAACTGTCGAAGGCGCTCACCATCTGCAATACTATCATGTACCCAGTCGGTAGAGGTAAATTGATCATACCAAGTTCGATCATCCATAAATGAAGCGTTCAGGCCATCTTTGGCCGATGCAGCAAGGTTCTCAGCTTGGTCCGCACCTATACTTCCGCGTCGGCTGACTCGCAAGGCTTGGGAGTTAGCACGGCTATGATGGCGTGATCGGCGGATGCTCCCAGCCAACAAGTTATGTCGAAAGTTGGTATCGGAGCCGGTAGAAAGATTGGTATATGACCGTTGTACACCTCTGTTTCCTCGATCTTTCCCTAGCAGGCTGGTTGTTTCGCCAATCTCCAAGGGTGGTTGTAAAGACTGATAACCGGTATGTGCTTCCGAGAGATAGCTATGTTGTCTGACCGCGGACGGGGAGGGAGGAGCCGTTCGGGAGAGAGACCGTTGGCGACCATCTTCGCTCGGAGCTTGACCGCCTTCCTGGGCAAAGGAGGTCAAATTAGAGGGTACAGAGCGTGGCATATTGAAGCGATAAGTACTTCGGAGTTAAATGTGGTGGTCTGATTCCCCGGTTAGCACAAGCCACCCGCAAGGGCACCCAGATTAACGGAGAATACCAAAACATATCATAGAGCATAAAGATTCTGAGGAGATCAAGCCACCTTTTTATCTCTGTTGACTCAGGTGAGCCGTTCTGACGGAGGTTGGCTAAGAGCGGTGAAACGTGGAGAGCCTAAGATTCCACAAGAGGTCTCAAACAAAAGGGCGATAAAGAAGTCAAGTCACAAAGACTGTCAGGTTGAGGAGAAATATAGCAAGCAGTCAAAGAGCAGGGGGGCTATTCATAGCATATGAGCCCTGGATGCAGTGGTGGAAGAGAAGAGACGCAAGACATAGTCTCAAGATAAATAGTTTTAAAACAGCGTTGATGGCAGATGACCCGCACGTAAATACATGGAGCCAAAACACGGGACTAAACGCACATCATTTGGTAAATCAAATTCCCAATTTTACTCTTCCGACGCTGGAGAGTTGTACTTAACTCAGACGCACAGGTATCCGCCCCGGATCAACTATCCTTTGCGAATAAGCAAATATCCCCGGAAAATTCTTCCATTTAATTCAAAGGGGGTGCTGAAAGAGCTGCTGCAACAACAACTTGAACCCCTACTAGTAAGTACTACTACTAGTACTAGTATATCCGGAGAATCCCCAGAACACGTGAGGCGCGGTGTAACAAAACGTATGGAAATTCGACTTAGTAACTTTATTAGAGCAGCCATTCATGCCCGTTGAATTTGCCTTTAACCCCACCATTCTTTCCCCAACGGAAAAGATCGGCGACTCTGATGTCAAGTGTTGAAAGCGACTCAATCATTAGACCAGCAAGGTTGTTGGTAAAGTCTCCTCCTAAATATGTCTCTCGCTTTACCGTTCCTTTCATCCCTTGTGTTCCCACCTTGTATGGTGATTCAATATTACTACTAGTAATAAATGGCTCTTTTATTCTATCCCCATGTTGGTTACTCCCTCCACCGCCAATGAAATATGATATCATCATGCATGTTGTGTGTATGTCTTCAATTCCTAACATATACAAGTGCATTCTCGGCATGCAATACTAAACTTTACATACATATTTCGACATTCCACACGAGATATGCATGTGGTCTTCCGGCTGGTCCTGATGACCTCTCCCTACGAGGGATTTTATCAATAAGGTGTCTACTTTAGGAAAGTAGGATTGAGAATCAATCTACTACCAGTACATATACAGTCTCTTCTACCCTTAGAGAAGAGATATGGTACGTATGTGAATCTCATGTTTACTTATGACCTCTTATGCTCTTCCTATCCTGGCCTGTGGGAGTGAGATTTTGGGATATCCATGACCAGCCGTCCTTGCCCCGTAAACTCGGCTATTCGGCCAGCTCAAATGATCAAGATGAATCAAGTTCCTTCAAATCGTCAGAGATAATACGGCGTACCATCCCCATATTGCCGAGAGCGTACATATAAATGTTAAATGCTGCCAACTGGATGGAGTGTTAACACAACGACATTTAAACCCCTCTCTCCTGATTCCGGGCCATACCCCTTATCGTCTGCATACACGGAGCAAGCTGTGGCTCCACGTATTTCGACATTGACTCTCAATATTCCATATTCATGCTCGCAGAGACTCTTCAGATACCTGTCGTTGCGATCGATAGACCAGGATATGGTGGTAGCACGGCCTATCCTGATCCAAAAGCCAAGAACGAAGACCTCCGAAGACGAGGCACTACATTCGCCCAGGAACAAGGTAAATACCTCAACTCGACTGTTCTACCAGAATTGTGGAAAGAATTTGGATCCAGTGCATCTAGTATGGTAGTATTCGCACATCCGATAGGGGGAATGATGGCCATTGTGGCCGCCGCAGAACCGAAAGAGTATCCTCTAGCAGGGCTGATCGTATCTGGAATCGGGTGCAAGAGTCAGAGAAATGAAGGGGATATCCATGGAAACCGTGATACTGGCCAAACGGACGAGCAACAAACGCATATTCATTTCAGTCCAAACGTGAAGGACGAACTGATGCTTAACTTTCCGCCCAAAGCAAATGAAGTACGGCTTGTTGACCATGCAATTCACCAAAGTATTCTAGACAAAGAGTCCCAAGGTTGAGCGTGTTATTCTACCTATGGAGATGAGCTTGCAGGTAACGGCATGGCTGTAACGCTGTTTGGGGTTCGCGATTGAATGTACTATGGGTCAAGGTAAGAAAGACTGACGTGTGATCCCTCAATGCATTGATTTACCGCACTAAACATTTACTCCCAGTAGTTTAAAGTTTGTGGGGATTGTGGGGTGGCCCTGATTTCTGTAGACCATGAGGGAATACGAGATGCAGCTCCTTGTATACAGTTTCTTTCCACAAGCCACATTCGGTAGCCACGGCAATTTAGATAGTACGACTTGATTGTTTGACCAAAAGAAATTGGCCTTTCTTAGTGTGGAATTACAGTTATCGATCCATACTAGTTAGCCACTAGTAGTAACCCTAGAGCGGGTTGCCATTTTTGCCGTACTGGTAAAGTATAATGTTGCCATCAAAAATAGATGATATGCTCTCCTAAATCTCCAGTAACATGCCAAGCTCTTATCTACAGGTTTTATTGTATCTCATAGCTCTTAACAATAAGTCGTAATGTTGTTGTTATATGCAGAAGACAGACGTTGGTAGTCGACTGGTACTAGTCGACCACACTCTCTGGATCGTATGTAATTGGCCTTCCTAACAGCTTTATTTCGAAAGAGGTTTTACTTCCCCTGCACCCACTAACATCGTTACATCGTCCGCATTCCACAAAGCTGAACAAGCCACCTCTCCACAAGATCCCAAACTGTACGTTGAGACAAGCCTAGAAGCACCCAATCTAGCATTGATGTGTTGTGGGGACCAGTCCAATCCCCACAGTAGAAAGACTCCATCCCCAGGCTTCCAAGATATCTATCCATCAGTCCGAGACTTGAGGAGGCACTACTAGTATCCACTGGGGCCAGCGATGCAGTACCCCAGATTTGTTCATAACAAAAGGGGTGGCAATCTAACCTCTGCCGGGCCGTCCGCTCCTACCTTTATAAGTCCTTACCTCCCGCTCGCTGGATTAGGGCTACTCAGCTCTCATCCCCTGCCCGTCTCTGCTTACTAGTGTTAAGTCATGTTCTTCAGATAATCACAACTTCTTTTAAGACGCCAACTTGGTTTATAATCATTTCTTGCCGGTACCATGCCATCAAATATAAGGACAGAAGACCAGGGAGAGGTCCTATCTATCCCATCTATCCCATCACCAGATAGCAAGGACCTTTCCTCCCTGGAAAAAGAGAATAGCGAGTGTATTGAGGAAGCAGAAGTCAGCCCATCACAGTTCGATGATGTCTTATACTCACTGTCTCCATCTCATCGTGAATATCTCTTCAAACGCCATGGCACCTTGGACCTGGAACCCATGCCGAGTGCGTCAGACGCAGACCCATACAACTGGCCTACGTGGAAGGTACGACGCCCTCCTCGACATATAGATCGATCCTAACCTGATCACTTCTCTTTACCATAGAAATTAGCCAACTTCCTACTTGTCGCCTTTCACTCTTGCATGGCGACCTTTACATCCTCGATTACTCCTGCCTTTGAGGATATTAGCATCGATCTAGGAGTATCTTTACAAAGCGCCAGCTACATTACAACTCTGCAAATTGCTATTCTCGGGGGCGCTCCCCTCTTCTGGAAACCCTTGTCTAACCGGTATGGTCGTCGGCCTATATTTCTGCTATCCACCATCCTCAGCCTTGTTTGCAATGTTGGATGTGCGAAGAGTCCGACGTATGCGTCACTGGCCGCATGTAGAGCTTTGACGGCATTTTTCATCTCTCCAGCAGCAGCAATCGGAAGTGCCGTTGTCACAGAGACCTTTTTCAAGAAAGAGAGAGCTCGATATATGGGAATATGGACCTTAATGGTCACCTTGGGTATACCAGGAGGTTAGTCCGAACCTACATTGCTCTGGTGTTTGGCTCCGCTAACAATCACATACTAGGTGCATTAGTCTTTGGCTTTGTCGCGAATCGCGTGGGCTACCGCTGGATATTCTGGGTTCTCGCCATCACCAATGGCGTGCAATTCATCCTGTACATCTTCTTAGGGCCTGAGACCCGTTATATTGGTAGTAGTACAGAGGATTCGTCGTCTGACTTCAAAACTCAGTATCTCTCATTTCGACGTATTGACCCAACACCATTGGCATTAAGGGAGTTCATTCACCCTTTCACCATGGCTAAGCACCCGAACGTCCTAATACCAACCGTTGCTTATGCATGGTGTTCCTGTTCGGAAGTGTCCTGGTCAACGTCGAGATTCCTCAGCTCCTGCAGGAGAAATTTGCTCTCCATACTGAGCAAATTGGTCTCCAGTACATCGGAGTCATAATAGGCACAGTCCTAGGCGAGCAAGTCGGTGGCTCCATATTCGATTACTGGGTGAATCGCCGAGCACGGCGTATACAAAAGGCACCAGACCCAGAATTCCGTCTGTGGCTCAGCTACCCCGGCATTATCTTGACCATAGTGGGCATTATTGTCTTTTTAGTATGTACCCAGCAGGCTCCCGAGGGGCATTGGACTGTCACACCTATCGTGGGCACTGGAGTGGCTGCCTTTGGAAATCAAGTCGTGACTACTGTCATGGTCACATATGCAGTCGACTGCCACCCAGACGAAGCAGGAAGTGTGGGGGTATTAATTAATTTTGCTCGGCAGATCTGGGGCTTCATCGGCCCGTTTTGGCAAGTCGTTCGTTCCAAACAAGTGACACACCGATGCATGACTAATACCAAATAGGTTTCCCGATATGTTTGCAAATGTTGGCGTCGCTGCGAGTTCAGGCGTTGCGAGCGCCATGATGTTCGTCTGTAGTTTGCTACCCACTATCGCGTTGCACGCATTGGGGCGGAAATGGGCTCGATATTAAGCGTGCTTCATTGTATATGATTGGATAATTTCAGTTAGCGTACTTGATGTCTTCAAATTCCATGCAAGCAATTATGGTCACCACGGACAGACGGTAGGCTAATCCATACACTTCGATGGTAGAGGAAGGTAAACTTCCCTGTTCCTCTCTTTGCTGGTACGAAATTTGACTCTTCCCTTTCGAACACGGTCATTTTAGTTGTGCATTCCTTTCTCCCTTGTCAAATCAGGCCGAGGAGGAACCACTAATTGCGAAAAGACCCCACCTGAATAAGCGTACGAGTCAAGCTTGTTGGTGGAAAAACCTCCTGGTCTAGACTCTAGAAGCGTGTAGATTGGTGCTGAAGCCTGAGCCTTCCATGCGGATGCTATGCTATTCATTTACGTTTGTCAAATTCGAATAGAAAGAAGGATCCACCAGTATTTCTCGAATCTCAAGTGGGTATCCTTATGGAGTTGATAGTAGGAGACCGTTTAAGGTATAAGCAATTAGTTGTTGTTTTTACGAGATCCACTGTTTATCTACCGCAATCCCCGACGGCCGCTGAGTGGCCAGAATTTTGGATCGGAGATACACCGTCATGAACTGTTTGATCTCGACGAAGCCCCTCCATCATTCGGGAGGATGGTACTTAATCTTCTCTCACCTCTATCTCTATTGTTAATATTCTTCTACACCAACTAGCTATTAGAAAGGCAAACAAGCAAATCTTGGACTATCCCGTTTCGCAATGGCAGCCGAGGAAGAGGCTCTGTACAAGCCTTATGATCAATTCATCCTCTTTGGGGATTCTATCACCCAGATGTCCAGTGACCCCCACATGGGATTTGGCTTATTTGCAGGACTGCAGGATGGTAAGTAGTACCCCTCCCCCTCTTTCTTTCGACTACAAACAGCTGCTAAAGATTTACAGCTTACAGCCGACGCCTGGATGTGATCAACCGCGGGTTTGGGTGCGTTACACTAGAGCATTTGGCTTCTTTATAACAGTCCTAGTAATCGCATGATTTCCTACAGTGGTTATACTTCTGGCCATGCCATCAACGTCTTTCCCAAGTTCTTCCCCACGCCAGAAAGAGCCACAGTGCGGTTCATGGTACGCTAGTTCATCCTATGAAGAACATTTCAAATAGCATACAAAGATTAACTCGAGAATAGACTATCTTTTTTGGAGCCAACGACGCATGTCTCCCCGGCAGCTCTCAACACGTCCCATTGGACGTGTATAAAGAGAATCTAACTCAGATCATTCAACATCCTGCAACAGTGGCCCAGAATCCCCATATCCTCCTGCTGACTCCACCCCCTATAAATGAATACCAACTACAGGGGTTTGACGAGTCCAAGGGAACTGTCCATCCCAGCCGAACCGCCGCTTTTACTAAGCAATATGCGGAGGCAGTTCGCGAGGTTGGCGCCTCTCTCGGCGTCCCTGTAGTGGATGTATGGAAAGCATTTATGTCTGCTGTTGGCTGGAAGGAGGGTGAGCCGCTCCCGGGCTCGAGAGATTTGCCAAATCTGGATCAATTAGCGCGGTTTTTCACTGATGGTCTGTCCTGTTCTTTTCGTTTGTATACTGTGTCTGATATACTAACCTATGGAAAAGGTCTACATTTGACAGCAGATGGATATCGGGTAGTGTTTGATGCGATCATGGAAACGATTCGAGCGAAGTGGCCAGAGGAAGACCCTACTGCAATGGGTATGATTTATCCCCCGTGGACGGAGGCGCCAAGGTAGAGAGATGGTTACAGTGTTTATGCAGGGGCAACGGGTGGAGGTCCGCACGGATCGGTAGTTTACTACGTTCTATAGCGAAGGCCATGCGTAATGGAAAGAATCAATTCCTGTAAATTCTCCAAAGGGGGTTACTAAAGTAGAGCATAAGCTCAGATCGGGTCGACTATTATTGTCTGTTCCTGTACGGGGTACTGTAAGTTAGTGCTAGTACTACCAGTAGTATTAGTAGTAAAGTGTGCACAAAAGCGGTCTAGAATCGGCTCGAAGTCCAAACTCCGTCGGAGACAAAAGAAACTCAGGCTAAGCCCGACATAGAAAGTGACGGCTGTTGCATTGAATTTCATCCCCTCATCTTTTGTCTTTCACTTTCTATTCGGCCTCCTTGCCTGATCATCACCCTTCCTTTCAGATTACAGCGCTTAATTTTTTGTCCTCCACGATCTAACGAACTTGTTTCTTCTGTCTCCTGAAATTTCTTGCATCTTCTTTGAGCAATCTAACCACTCGTGTTTCAAGTCACCCTTTAAAGCGCCGGAGCCTCCGTCCTCGCATTCAGCTCGCATTTCCTCCTGCAAAGCAGATCATTTCTCTCCTCGGCGCTCCTTGCTAGAAATCCATCGGTCGATCTTACTACAGCTCCTTGTTGACTATTAACTCAACAATTTTCGCGGCCTCCAACACAAGCTGAGGTGGTCGCTTCTCACCTCGTTGGATATTTCTCGACAACCGTGAAGTCGGCATTCTTTCCGTCCGAATCAAGACACCCTTTTCGGCCCTTCGTTTCGGCTCATTACTCATCAGCGTTGTGGAGTGAGAACATCCCGACAGCAAGCTGCTATTAGGTTTATATGGTTTTGGCAAAGGTTGCAGATATTCATATTTAGCGAACCGGGTGGACGGCCGTACGGCCGTCTCACAGAGGAGGGAGGAGTATTGAGGATAAAGCGAGCTACGTAACCCTGGTCGGTTGACGCCAAAAAGTAGCTTGGAGGAGAAACATAAAGTTGTCTGATTCTTTGGGTCTGATTCATTTGTGTCCTGGTTTCCCTGGTCGTTGCATTGTTCGCCACCCCTATTCAGTCGCTCGGATATGGATGCTCAGTACCCTTTTGCTTCACGTGACGACATCTGGCGCGTCTTCGAAGAGCTGAAGGAGCTCCATGCTACACAGTTCGAGCAGGCGGAGCGAATCGCAAGACTCGAGCGGCGAAGGGACGAGGATGCGAGATTGAAAAGCGTCTGGGGCCCTCTGTCACCGTTTCCTACATCCGTTGCAGGCACAATACCCACAGGTGTGTTCACTTGGTCTTCGGATTGCTTTCGAATAGGAGCTGATCTCTCATTCCTTTTGCAGAGCCTATCTTCCATTCGCCGGCCGACGCCTTCAAAGGGTTCGATCAGGGACAGCATCACGGGGGTGGGGGGACCATGGGCATAGAGAGCGAAGAGGAGCCAAGACGAGGGACATCCAGAGCGAATAGTGTTCGGTTTGATGAAAGCGCTATTCACGGTTACTATGGACAAACTAGTCGGTCCACCAGCGAGCTTCCACTGAGAACCGGGAGTGGCATGGGGAGCCATCCGCTGACCGAGCGGTCTCTGTCTCACCGGTCTGACGGACGACTAAGCTCATCGGGACATTCCCATCACTCGGCACGTACCAACAGTCTGGGGTTGGAAACCACCAGCAGAATGATGGGCTCTTCTGTCGGTGGCTCCCCCCTCATTCCTCCACCAGGGCTTTTTCTCCTTGGCCCTGTACCCTGCATTATACGGTGCTGGTTGACGACCAACTTCTCCAATGACTCGCTCCTGTATGCCGCGGTCTGCTCGGGATCCTATAAGTCTTCATTGGGCTTTCCCATGATCCAAAAGCTGGGTCTCGAAAGCTTGGTAACACAGGAGGAAGACTTGCAGTTCATCAAGCTCCCGATGTATCTCCCCGAAGCTAGTATTCACCAATCATCTTCCAGGCCCAGTAGCCCAGCCCCCCAGCTGCCCGCACTGACTGTTCGATTCCTTGTCCGTGATATCGATCTCAATGATCCTTCCATCCAGATTGTTCTGGGCAGTGATATTCTTCGTTCCCATAATGCAGAGCTGCTCTTCTCACAGGACAAGATTATCATGGTGGACGATGAGCGGAATAAGATCTCGATCCCTCTTGTGCGGCCCGAAGACGACTCGGCCTTCAAGTTCCTTCGCACGGCATCGGATGCCTCGCGTACGACGGGCACGACACAATCGCTTCAGGCTAGCCCTCAACCAGACACCAATGGCCATTCGGTCGGTGTAATTGGCCCACCTAGGAGTTTGTCTCGACAGTCCAGGTCAGCATCTGCTTCCGCTAGAGACTCAACTGAGGAACCTGAAGAGAGTCGAAAGACATCTTTGGATACCCAGGAACTGCCAAGGAGCGCCGAACCCACCAGCGTGAGCAAGCCCACTGTAGTCGCGGAGTCTCCACCGGAGGGCCCGACAAAGGTGGAGCCAGCCGGGGTTTGGGGTTCGTGGAAACGCGATACCAGATTGGATTCCAATGCCTCCACCGCCGGTAAGACCTCCAGGACTCGCCCGATGAAAGTCTTGCGCCCGATCAAGTCTTCCTCTCGAACGTCATCCGCTACGACAGTGCCCACTAGCTCCAGTCACGATGCAGTCCCGGTGCCCTCTCAGCCGGCGTCGTCACGAGCGTCCCCAGACGAGACTCGGACGGGTAAACCATGGGTATCCAATCCCATTGGCGGCGCTTCTGCGTTTGGATGGCTCAATTCGTCTCAACCGACCCGGGCTGTGACGAACCCTAAATGAAATAGATTAGGGATCCAGCCCTGATTCACGGTCTACCTATGCGTGTAGCGTAACTGTATTTGGCGACGTTCAATTGAACGTTTGACGGTGTTGGACGACATCACATGTACTATGCAGTAACCGGTTTATAGCGTAGTAGTAGTAAATCCTGACTGCAGTCATACAAATTGACATTCATTCACTCAATACTGAACCAGTTACTATGAGACCATTTGTATAGCACTCTTCGAAATCCTAATAGCAAGCAATATCTCAGTTCAAAAGAGCCCAGCCCTCAATCCCATATCCTAGTCTACAACTACAAAAGTCCAACACCAAAAAGCCAAGCTAAATTCCTCAAGAAGGAAAACTTAAATCTTCGAGAAAACCTCCAAAGCCCCCTTCGTCTCCTCCTTCGTCTCCTTAACCAGCCCACTAACAGCTCTAAACCCACGATGGCCCGCATCCCCCAAAACCTCAAACAACACACTCTCACTACTGGTCACGACGGCCCCAGCATCCCTCAACCTCGCCAACGCAATCCCCCTCTCCTCGCTATTGACACTACTCACCCCATCCACAATAACATACACCCGATGACCCCTCTCCAACAAATCCAGCGTCGTCTGCGTAACACAGATATGCGTCTCAATCCCGACGATAATAACATCAAGGCCCGTTTCTCCCGCAGAAACCTTGGGTAGCTTGGCCTCGATCTCCGGGGTGATCATCGAGAACAAGGTCTTGTCGACATTGGCCTTTACATTCGGGGACGAGAGGTGGGGTTGCAGCTCAGAAACCGTGTCGCCGAGTTTGGCCCGGTTTTGGGTTGTCACGTACGTTGGGATCTGGAGCGTGTTGGCTGCTTTGAGGAGTTTGGCTGTTGTTGGGATTCTGTTTTTGTTTTTCAATTTTAGTATTATTCCAGTTGTTATTATAATTGGGGTTTGGGATGGTAATATATTCTTGGGCTGGGGGGGGGTTGTGGTTGGCATGTAGGGGTCAGATAGTACTAATGGGATGATGGTGATTAATGGTGTTGTAGTAGACGTACAATTTAGAGAATTCGTAGATTACGGGTCTGAATTTCTCTTGGATATCGCAGATGCTGAATTGGGCAGGATTGTTAGGTTCATGGTTGATTTCCTTTTAGGGGTTTTAGTGGACGTACAATAGGGCTGGATTCCCTGTTGCTTTTGTTAGTATTTATCTAGATATTGGGCTTGTAGGGGACTTACGGATGCGGGCTGCTCTTGTGATGGTGGCCATTTTGGGTGGTTTTAGTGCAATAGTTTGGGTATAGCGATTGGTACCAGTGATTTGAATGTGGAATGTGTGAAATGGAATGAATGAGCTTGCGGTGGATTGTAGAGGAAGAAGAAGTGGCTGCGGAGGAAATCGGGCGGGGAAGTCCGTGAGGAGTATGCGGAGATGATCATGGATTTGGTGCCTGGTTTGTCAGGCAGCGAGTGAGGGGCTATGTCATTGAGGTTGTGTGGATTGGTTCTCTCTTGCAGGGGGTGTATACTAGTAGTTATTTCATCCATTTGGGTTTGTTTATCTTCCTGTTTCTGTGTGAGACAGAGTGCGTGGTTCTTTTTGGTTTTTTTTTATTTCGGGAATGTGTACATGGATAGCATTTCTAGTAACTTTTATATTCACATGGAACCAACTTATTCTGATGCCTTTACAAATCGATCACTTGGATCTTGGCCCGTCCGGTAAACCAGCTGTGGTCTCCCTTCAGGGCTGCCTGGCGGATGGCGTAGAGCTCGTCGAGGAATGCAGGAACAAAGCTGCCGGGTCCCCGCACGTATTCTTTCGAGGCGGCGTTCTCCGCTGCGATCTCGTACATTAGAATACCGGACAGGACAGCCAGGAGTCTGTCGGATGGGTGGGCAGTTAGGAAGCAGCCGGATACGGTTCCGACGGCACAGCCGGTCTATATGTTATATCAGTATATTGTCTTATGGTTATTTTGTAGGAGCAGGGAAGTAAACATACGCCAGTGACTTGCCCAAGGAGCTCGTGTCCGTTCTCCACAGCGATAACTCGCTCGCCGTCGCTGAGATAATCAACGGCGCCAGTGAGAAGAACAAGGTTGTCTGTATCCGATGAGGTTAGTGTGGTTTCACTGAGCAAAGGACAGGTGACGGCTTACGCTCTCTCCGAGCCAGGTCCCGGGCTAGGACGGCCTTAGCTTGACCATCCAGGCTGCTCGGACCGCTGTCAACACCACGCTGAGTCACGCCACTGCTTCCAAAGACCTGCCGGATTTCTCCCTCGTTGCCTTTAATGAGATCGAAATATCCTCCTGCCATGAGCTGTTTGACTGCTCCGCGACGGATGTGCGTAGCGGCAGCACCAACAGGGTCATAGACAACAGGGTTACCACGCTCGTTGTAAGCCTTGATGGCTTTGAGGTAGTTGGGAACGCTCTCGCTAGTCAAGGTACCCATGTTGACGACTAGGCCGCCGTCGAACTGCGCGAGGTCCACAGCTTCATCCCCATGTGGGGCCATGATAGGAGAAGCGCCCCTAGAAGACACTTAACTGGAGATGCACAGGCCATACAGACAGTCGAGGCAACTTACATTGACAGAGCAACATTAGCAACGAAGTTAGCTACAACAAAGTTGATCATATTGTGCACAAGAGGGTGCGCTTGTACGACCTTTTGGACGATCTTTGGCACCTCCTCCTGTAGTGCAGCAACTTCACGGATCTGAGGAGCTGCTGGGGCTCGTACGAATGGCGGGGGAGTGGCGATACGTTTCACGAATTCAGCTGCTACGGCCTTAGGGTCGTCCGCGGCTATAATGGCACTGACAATGGCAACACCGTCAAGTTCCTTCCTGGGAGCTCTGGACTGGTAAAGGACTCGTTGAACGTTGGAGAGATTGATTCCACCAATTGAGACGGTCCCGACAGAGCGGCCCGTGTCCGAGATAGCATCAAGAATAGCCTGTGTACCGGCTGTTCCGATGATGTGCTTGGTGTTGGTCTTGCTAATAGGAGTTAGTGTGACTTTTGAAATAGTAGTTTGTAAGGTTGCTGGACCGCTTTGTGGTAGATAACATACGTTGGAGTTGCGAACATGGTTCCTATCCCGAGGTAGTCCGCGCCGGCATCAATGGCCTTTTGAGCCTCTTCTATCGAGGCAGCAGTGATACCAATAATAGAATCCTTAGGAAGAAGCTGCTTTGCTTGTTCAATGGCTGCAAGAAATTAGACCATGAACACTGCATGGCAGAGGCGGATAGCTCACCCATGTCATCTTGACCGAGATGGACACCCTCAACTCCAGCGGCAAGAGCAACATCCACACGGTCATTGATCAGCAAGGGAACCCCATACTTCTGGGTAATCTGATGCAGCTTCTTAGCTGTCTGAATCTGCTCTCCTGTATCACTTTTCTTGTCCCTGTATTGGACTATCGTGACACCTACGCCAAGCGTTAGTGGAGAATTTGCCGGGAGTAGAGAATGACTGACCTCCTTTCAAAGCTTCCTCCACCACCGTGCACAGATCACGGCCCTTGAGGATAGCTGGAGTCGAGTCGGTAACCAGATACAAGGAGAGATTTAACGGCATTTTTACTTTTCTGGATTGCACTAATTAGTATCTATGGCTGCATTTACGGGACTTTCATAAAGCGTCGAGACACTGGTGAGGGGCACGTGGGGTATGTGGGGACAGGGAGAGGGATGAGCCTAGAAAATTTTCCATATGGCAAATGGGTGAGCACAGTACCTTCTATAAGACGATAATCATGGATCTTCGGCCTGTCCCCAATAGCAGTGATACAATCGGGCCGGTCGAAGAAGAGGGTGAAATGACGTTGGGGTTGTTTGCATTGATTTACGCAATCTTAGTCATATTTTCGCATCGCCAATAACTACCGTAACCCAAAGTCCGTTGATCTTCTATAACCCTACAATAGATCCAACCCCGTATTTACTCAAATTCGCTTGAGCCTGGGGTCACCGTAGCACAGATTATCGGGTAGTACATTGGCATTTTTTTTTAGATCACAACCAGTTAGTAGTACCTATACAGAGAATACGTACAGCCCTGTATGGGCAAAGCTCGATCCTCTACACGACTCAACACAAAGAATGATTTAATTATAGCGGAACTGTACCACCTTGTGCTGTTCCATGTAGTGTTACAAGCCCAAAGACAATGTTTCTGTAATATTTGGGATATGTCTCGTCCTGGTGGTAGATTAAGCGATGTCCACAAATATACCGAGTATAACCAACCCGTATTATCTACTACATGCACGTATCCAAAGAAAGCATAGCCATTCAGCTACGTGCTCCTTGGGACTGTCTCTGCATGGTTAGCTGCATGAGCAGTGCCTAAGACAGAGATGACTCGCGAACTTCGGCCCCTGCATAGCCCTGAAACCAGTACTTTAGCGAATATCGCTCTAACCCCAATTATAGCAGTCACCCCGAGCCCTATGTGAGGGGTGTGAAGTTGGAGCATTCTACTGGCCATTCTTCATCGAAATTTTGCATGAATGAAGGATCAAAGGATCAGTAGTATCCAAGGATGCGAGATTGTGTTTCATAGTGGTGCAGCCTAGTGGCTCACCGTAACTCAAAGCGCATTCTTTAGGCTCATGGTAACTCGTAGTATGTCATACAACACAAGGGATTGTACAGTGTACAGGAATCAAATCGGCTGTATCTTGCATAAAAATTCGCTCAATAGTGCAATGAAAGGTAAACAACTAAACAACAGAAGTGAAGCAAGGCTAACCAGGAATGTTTGTCGGTGCAGGCAGAGGTGTAAATGCGACTGATACTGGACAGAACAATGAAAATCAACCGACAAAAGGAATGTTAAATCCGACATAACCCCGAAACGCGATTGTTTGTTGGAAAGGACTTTGTGCACGTGCCTCGGAGCCGACCTGATACGGAAATCAGCCGGTCTGCTGACTCAGAGTGGGTTTTTTTTCTCTTCTATTTTTTTTTCTGCCGGGCTTGGCGGTGGAGCAGTCGAATCGTCCCTTCCTTCTATTTGGCAACATTTTCTTTCTCTTTCCTTCCTCTTTTTCTCTTTCTTTCCCATCCCAACCTGCTCTTCTTTTCATCGTCAAGTCATCAGTTCTTGACATTGTCACGTCTTCCAAAGTTCCCCGGAAAGCTGTTAAACACGGCTTACGGTTGTTACTGCGCATTTTGATTCATCAAAGCCACTGGTTAGTTCTACGGTCATCTCGTCAGCCACCAGTCATCGAAAGTGTCGAAATTCTGACCTGTGTCTTTACCTGCTGCCTTACAGAAGAACCACCCTGTTGGTTTCTCTCTCTTTCCGTTGGAGAAATCCACTAAAAACAGAGTCGATCGAGAACTTGTCTATGTATTCGTCCTGTGTCAGCGATCTCGACTACCACCTGCCGCTCAAGCTGCAAACGTTTCGCCCCGCGTCGAAACCTTGTAGTATACATTCTAAGTCCTGTGGCTGAAAGCTTTGGGCTGCCATATTCGCTGTGCCAATCGTTCCGTTGAGACGATCTTAACCGCCACCATTCCTCCAAAATCAGGAACTCACTACGCATGTCTTGTACTTTCAAGACATCCTTAGTCCGGAATCCCTCCCGCTTCGTTTTCAGACACCTTCTTAAGTAAACAAAGATCTTCATCTTTATTCACCATGGCTACCGTCAACATTCGTCGGGATGTTACCGATCCCTTCTATCGTTACAAGATGGAGCGCCTGCAGTCCAAGATTGAGGGCAAGGGCAATGGAATCAAGACCGTCGTTGTCAACCTGAACTCGGTCGCTCAGTCCCTTAGCCGTCCCCCTGCATACGTGATCAAGTACTTCGGATTCGAGCTTGGTGCTCAGGCCAACGCCAAGCCGACCGATGAACGCTGGATCATCAACGGCGCCCACGATGCTGCCAAGCTCCAGGATTATCTTGACGGATTCATCTCCAAATTTGTTCTTTGCAAGAAGTGCAAGAACCCTGAAACCGACGTCATCATCAAGGATGACAAGATTATCCTGGATTGCAAAGCCTGCGGACAGCGTTCCGATGTTGATTCCCGTCTGAAACTGAGCACTTTCATCCTCCGCAACGAAACTAGTGGAAAAGGAGGGAAAAAGAACAAGGCCGACAAGAAGACCCGTCGTGAACAGCGGAACAAGAAGAATGAGACAGCGAATGGAGAAAACGGCAGCCCTGGAGACAGCAACTCTGACAATGGTGACGCTGAGAACGGTGACGTGGGCATGGACGCTGGCAGTGACGATGAGCTTACTCGTCGTATTAAGTCCGAGGCCGATAACATCGAAGCTGAGGATGCTGAGGAAGTTCAATGGTCCGTCGACGTCTCTGAGGAGGCCGTCCGTGCTCGTGCCAAGGAACTCCCCGATGACCTGAAGCGTTCCCTTGTCATCGAGGATGCTGACGAAGATGGTGCTGATGGTCCTTCTGCTTATGATGAGCTCGGTAGCTGGGTACAGGACACCGCGACTCAGAAGGGTGGTGTCGCTAAAGTCAGCGATGTCGACATCTACATGAAGGCCAAGGAATACGGTATTGAGTCGAAGCACAAGACCCTGGCAGTTCTTTCTCAAACCATGTTCGACAAGGACATTGCTAAGCAGATTCCTGGCCGCGCTGGTCTTCTCAAGAAGATGATTACCTCGGAGCGCCACGAGAAGGCCTTCTTGGGTGGTATTGAACGCTTCGTTGGCAAGGATCACCCCGAGCTGATCAGCCAAATCCCCGCTGTCCTTCTTCGCCTCTACGAAGAAGATATCATTTCCGAGGAGACCCTCAAGGCATGGGGCTCCAAGGCTAGCAAGAAGTATGTTGATATCTCCACCAGCAAGAAGGTCCGCAAGGCTGCTGCGCCTTTCCTCGAATGGCTTGAGAATGCCGAGTCGGAGAGCGAAGAAGAGAGCGACGACGAATAGATCAGCTGATCCATTCATGATCCTCCGTTTCATGGAAATTACTTTCGGGATGTTTTTTGTTTGGCTTTGATTCGTCCTCCCAACTACTCTCCACTCGCTTTATTGTTGCTGACGGTCATCACGACCTGCTGTGATGTTTCTGGTTTGAGAATAATCAGGAAAAACAAGTTAAAAATTGTTGAGATTAGTGCTTGCCAATTGAATCTCCTCGCACATGATGATCCTATATTTATCGTAAACCCTGCCATGAGTATCAAAGTACAGTACTTTTGCAGACGCTAGAGCCCCCTTCTACGCTTTGGAGATGTTCCAATGTTTACCGTTTCACAACATCAGTAACCCTATGTATTGCCAAGAAAGAGGAACCTATCCTGTGATTCGGTAGGGCTATATGTACTGTCTGGAGTAATTGCATACCTTGAGTGCCGCCATCAAGGGTAAGAAGATATTAGTCTCGACTCTCCCTTTGGCACAACCAGAGTGCTTCTCGTCTACCATAACAATCTACGCGGACGCTCTAAATGTATTATCAAAATAATCATTCAATCGTTATACCTTGTAAGATATGTTCTCCTTATCACATCCATGCCTAAGCCACTTTATAATCCAGGTCTTCATGCACACTCAAAACACCAACGCCGCAAACTTCAATTTATTTCCTGGCGATGACCATGTTTTCAAGGGGTCTTCGTTGATTTCACTTATTAGGGAAACACTGGGTGTCTTCCTTTGAGGTGTGATATCCCGCACTTGTGCCTTTTGCTGCTGAAAGATGAACCAAGTCAAGTCAACGTTCCAGGTTTCCATTGCCTCGATAGCATTGTTGACAGTGTCAATCTCTGGACGAAGAGAAGACGGGGTTTCTTGTTTTGACGACGACGACGACGACGACGAAGAAGAAGAATAGTAATCCGGACCCGCAAACCGGGCTATCCAAGCCGCAAGGAATTCGCAGATCTGGTCACCCATAGACAAAGGTAGACGGACATGTGTGAGAAGAGTGATGAACAGGGAGAGGAGAGCGCGCCAGAGACTATGGTGAGGTGTGAATGCACGTGCGCCTGGGGGCCCCCCTGCTGTATTGAGAGATAGCGATTGTGAGAGACCCAGGGATAATGAAAAAAGTATATTATCTGTCTTTTCCTCGGTGGTTTGGTTCCTGGCTCGTCTCTGAATGGCCTTTTCGGCATCTTGTCGGACGGTCTCCCATACGCGACGGTAGAGCCGTTCCCATCGCGGGAATTCGGCTTCGATTCTGGTGGCCATGAAATCGCCGGCGCTCTTGCACATGCTTTCGATGGCTTGGCAGGCTGTTGTGGTTACGTATATTTCTTCTCTGAAGTTGAATTCATCATCTGGTCGGTTCTTGGGTCCGTTGTTTGAGTCTTCTCTTGTCATGAGGGCTGTTGATGAGGAGCTGCTATTGAAGGATGAGGGAAGGCTGACCCTTGCGGCTACTGATGGCCACACCTCGTTGATGATGGGCAAGAAGCTGTTCTCGTGTCCTGAGAGAATTGGTGATACCTGGGTAAGTATAGAGAGCAAGGATCGGCGAAGGTAGGGCGATGGAGACGAAAGATGTGAAGGGATAGACTGGATGATATGTAACAACAGGTTATGTGACTTGCTCAAAGGCTTTTCTTGGTCTTCGGGTTCGCGTGGTGCGGGCAGTGGTTCGTCTGATTCCTCTGTTGCCTTGTTCAGAAGCGACTCGATATCCTCTTCTGTCTCGACGGACTTGTCAGGCTTTGTGGTCCACGGCCGTTCTGGGTGGGAAACGTGCTCGTCAGCTTCAGGAAAGTCGTCCAGATGCTTGGCACGCTTCGCTTTCCGATTCCTCAGGTCATTAGCAAGAGAAGAGATCTGTAACCTCTTGTGCTGCTTCTTGCGATGTCCCGCACGTTCGCTGTCTGTTCCATCGCTTATTGCCAGGAATGAAGGATTCTTGGTCCCTTCCTCAACAATGGCGGCCAAGGTTTTGAACATCATTTCAACAAGTTTTGGATATCCGTGATACATATCCAATATCCCAAAGATTGAATCGACCAAATCGTCGAGATATGGGATCAACCGCACACCGCATAGCTTGACCATCATGAACAACACTTGGGGCGGATACGGTGAGACATCGAACGTGTTTAGCTTCAAGGCCACTGAATTCACAAGGTAGTCGACGTTTTCAATAACCATCGTGCTTGTGCTCTCGTAATTACAGGCTTCCGTTAGTATATTGAGACAGACCATAGCATGCCTCTGAAGATTTGGGTTGGGCGATGATAGCAGTTGGAGGACAGGGTATAATGCGTCCATCAATTCTGGCCGAAATGCTTCATGAAGCTGTTGGGCCTGGAGTGCGATTACTTCTAGAGCAAGAGCCGAAATTCGCCAGTCTTTTGATTCGTCAGGCAGTGATTCGCTCAGTACAGGGAGCGAAATGTAATATAGTTCTTCGATCATGTTAGCTCTCGTAGAAAACAGGGATGACGGTTCGATAAAGTCAGATGAAATAAATTCATCAAGACTAGTGAGCTGGGAACTGCCTTTAAGGAATTCTAACGCTAACCAAAAAGGCGCAATAGAATTGCCTGTTTCTTGATGAACCCGGTTAATGATTAGACGTGTAATATCACTTCCAGATTCGGACCTGTTAAGCCTGAGAATCATGGATTGAAGGTCTTTGAGTGTTTGCTGTTGACTGCGATGTTCCAGAAGAACTGGTGGGAAAGATCTTGACTGATTTCCATGGTGAAGCACTTCTAGTGTTTGGCTGCCTGATGTTTCAGGGTTCAGAGGCTGAAGGGCATTATTTGCATGGTTAACGGCTGCCGAAACGCTGTCGCACAGTCCTGATGCAAGTCCAGTAGTGAGTATGTCAGACCCGGATTGGATCTGGGACAATATCTGAAAGGCAGTGGATATTTGTTTAAGTGCCCATTGCTTCGACGTTTCATCATTGCTTTGCATGGTTCTCGGGAAAGCGGTAATCCAAGCATGCAGAGAGTTCTTAAGGGCATCCAATACCTCAGCATACGCCGTGGCAAGATGCACGAGGATTGTGTATGCATTGTTAGGTGATTCGTCATCGCTAGTTTCAGATAACACAACCATAGTTTCAACCACAAGCGAGAGCGACTCTTGCAGTGTGCTTCGGCAATCCTCCACAACCATTGAGCAAAGTTCTAATAGCGACTCTTGTACTTCAGGCCGGTCATGCCGCCTAACCTGGATAATATTTGCAAGCGCAAGCTTTATTTGGGTAGCTGTAGCCTTCAGCCAGGATTCATCAAGCACAAGGCCATCCCCACTTTCCTGAGACTGAGCAGGCTTCTCTGGGGCGGTACTCGTTACTTGGTCATTAAGGACAACTTTAATCATGTGTGTGAGGACCTTGATGCAGGCAGAAAGCAGCTTGTAAGAGCGTCGTACTTGAGTTGTTGGCTTGATGACCTTTGTCAGCGTCGAGACTGTCCGTGGCATTATGCTGGCCAGGACTACCCGGTCAGTGATTCGATAGTATAGAGCTTGAAGAGCTTTTGCAGCAGAAACACAAAGGTCATCTGATGTACTGTCTAAAATTCCTTCAAGCAAGACATACACAGTCTGGTCAACAACAGTCGCTGTGCCGATTTCGTTATAGATCGTCCTTTGCGCTACAGGCCCTTCCATAACATCAAAGATGGCTGAAAGACAGTCAAAGCCAGCAATAGACAGTTCCGCTGGTTTGGATTGTCCTTGCTGGTTACTATTAGCTTTACTTGGAGGGCCTCCAATAATCAACGTCAGCAGTATCATGAGCTGCTTGCCCATTTGCGGGGATAGGCGTTGTCGCCATCCGTCAGCAACCAATATTCGCAAGCAGTCGACTGCCAACTCCAAGCAATTAGCAGAAATTCTCTGGGTCTCATTGAATATATGAGACAGCGGAAAGAATGCATATTCTGCTAGCTTTTCGTCCAGTGAACCTTTACTTGAGAGTTCTTTCAGGACGCTCTGCACTGGTTTGAGAGCCCGGAATACATCGTTTGGGGACGACTGATGGCCACGGTATCTAAGGCCGACCGAGCTGAGCTCAACACAAGGGTCCCGAAGCTTTGAAATGCATTAGCCATGTCACTGTACAGAATGTAAATGGAGCTTGTCTGTACCCTTTTAAAGGCTTCTTGCCGTGAGTACTCCATTATGCCTATTATGGCACTGTCAAATGAGATCAGGAGCGTGGCTCTACAAGCCTACCATCCGGCTTGCTACCAGTTTACTGAAACTTGTATCTGCTGAAATATCAAATCTCGAAGTACATGAGCCAAACAGAGCAAGATGGGAACGTCACAGGCAGTGATTGTTCTCCGCCCCACCTTTTCTGCTGGCAGAATCTTAGGGCGGTGTGAGACAACATGGGTGCTGTTTGTATATGGAGTAACACTACAGAGTACTAGATGACAACAAAAAGGACACGGTTGTTCAAAGGTGGATCCATTCTGATCTACAAAGATTGCTCGCGAGGGATTGGCTATTGAACTTGAGCAGCTGAGATGTGCTGGCTAGTGTGGAGTTTATGAGATCAACACCGCTTAGATCTGGGGCTGGCTGAAGAGGGAATTGTGTAAACTCACTCCTACTAGGTAATGACAGAGAAGTATCTATATACTCTAGAGTACTTAGTACTAGTACTGCGTAGTAGTCATGTAACCACTAGTATGTGACAGCTTCGTGCATAGCAGTGATTCTTATAAGGCATTAATCCTCTTCCCCCTCCCCAAATTCTTTCTCTTCTCCCCATTCCCCTACGTACCTCGCTTTTATACTTTCCCCCTCAACTACAAAGGCTCTTATTATTTCAATAATAGCTGTACTTTGTTAAATTGAATAATCATGTCGGGCATCCAGGCATAACGCTAATGTTACCCATCATGGTCACTACCTCGGAGGCAGCAATGGAGCCAGCGAGGATGGTCCCATGATTGCTAGAGTCGTAGATCTGAACCTCCGCTCCCCGAGTGTTAGACAAGTCGGGGAAGTAGCATTCAGTATCCCAATCCATCTACTGATAAATCAGAGCCCATGTTGAGGGTATACTGTGACACTTCATCTTCCCGCGGCAGCTGGTGGAATCAATTCCGCTGTCGTTGAAGTACTCATCGCTAAGCTTCGCGTTTGGCAATGCTGCTATGATTCGACTTTGCTCCGAATTCCATCGACATGGCCATGCACACGTATCGTGGAGAGTAGTAACGGCCAAGTGAACCCTGGTGTTCTTATATGCATCGGAAAACAGGCTAAGAGGCACTCTTGGATAGAGCGAGCATCTTCAATCTCAGATGGTCATGTCTCGCATAACCGTCAAAACCGATCGACAGTTAGAAAACGCCGCTCAAGAGGTACCCGAAGTGCGCACCTTCAGCCACCAAACTGGCCAGGTCAACGTCCCGAATCTATGAATTTCAATCTCTACCATTCCTCGGGCATCTCATTTTCCTCATGTCCAGTGATTCAGATGAACTCAGGTAGATTGATGGCCAAAACAACTAGCTCGTACGGCCCGAACTATAGAGCCCAGCTCCACTTCCGAATGTACACACTACCCTACAACAGAAAAGTGTGTTCCCATTGTCAACAGGTCGTTGAAATTAATTGTTTGCCCTGAAGGGAATAACAGCTCCATATATGGGACCCTATAATTTATGATCGGTTCAATCAAATGTCTAGCTCTGTGGTTCTGGCAAACTACTACAGTGATTTAGACATTTTCCACCCCCAGGTTTCAATTTTTAGTCCCTTTATGGAACCGAGGGCTCTGGTTGATATCCCGACTTCACCAGGACGGCTGACTCCCTCTATGGTTGCCCCTACATAGATAGCTTGAGCTCAGTCTCAGTTTTTCCAGAAGAATGCCGTCATAATTCACTAGAATGATCATAATTCTCGGTGGCTAACCAAAAAGGCAGTATTAGAAAAGTCAGGGAGCCCTCGAACTTCCGGTTTCTATCAATATTGACTCAAATCACAGTATAGAGATGGATACTCGAGTAGGATATCAGCATCATCTGGAGGAATAGGGTGGTGGATACCGAGCTCACGTAGGTTTTGTAATGATCACCTGGATTCCCCCTAGTCTAATTAAGAGGCAAGCATCACTAGTGGGCTTTTAGTGGCGCTTAGCCTCATAGCACACATGCTTGTCATCCCCACTTTATTTAGGGTATATAGCTGGGATTTCTCATTGTCATCATCTCCGAAATCTCAGACCACACTAGTAAAATCATCAGCAAATACGTCTGGCATATTCTGCAACCGTTAGCCGAGCTCTGGGGATTGACTATTAACCGAGTCATTCGTGTGGAGGTCTTTGGGATATAATACGTCATTTCTCCAACGAAGAGCAGAAACCTGCAAGGAGGACGGCCTGGAAAAACAGAGCGTCGGTCTTCAGGGAATAATTCCATTCATTACCTGAACCCTAAGCTCAACTATTTTATACTCACCTGACCATATGTCCTCAAGTGTGTTTATCATATCCCATGGACACGCCTGGAACTTCAACTAACCCATGTCCATCATCACCAAAGTACTTTACAAAGACCTCCAGCGGTGTCAGGTCGAAGAAATCCCAGACGGACTCTCCCGCGCCACAATCCTAGAAACTTTCCACAACCATGACCTAATGATCAGGTCAATCTACCCGGGGTCTCACATCAAGGAGAGCACCTCTATCAGTTCAAGCTCTACAAAGTTCTCATCGCTAAACCCTAAGTCGAACGTCACCACCGTCTGTACTCTAACTAGTCTCGAGGACGGTATTGGCATGGTCACAGATTTGGGGCTGTGGATGGAGATCAACTGCCGCTGGACTGTTCATGATCGCGTTGAGAGTCCACCATTAGGTGGGGACAAAGCTTTAACGAGGAATGTTGCGCGGATAGGATCACTATACCTTCTTGAGGAGGCGGCTTTTCATATTATAAGGCCGTTTGAGAGGTTTGCGAGGAATGATCGCCAGCAGAGTCATGCTATGGAGGGTATTCTTAGATTGCTGCAGAGATTAAAAAGCGGGGAGGTGTCTGCTGTCGGGTTAACAGCTGGGGATGAAAGTGATGTCGATAATATAGTTGAGGATGCGAAACCCAAAAGGGAATAATGTTTTTGAAAGTATATACTTCAAGTTCCGTCTTTGCTGTTATCGTGAGGGTCAATTAACCACCAATCTTTCACACTAAAAGTATGATGACTATAATTAATATAGTAAAAAAAGGAACAATATTATCAAATACTTCGGACTCTCTTGACTCTAGGGAATTTACCGAAATGACAATGCACGTCAATCTACATACAAGACCATCCTTATCTTATCTATAATACACGTGACCTAATTAATCTCCGCGTCACGCGTTGCGCGCAGGCAGCCGGCTTCTGCCTTCAATGCGATTCAGTGAACGAAAATCGATAAATGCGGCGCATAATCTGATGCAATCTCTGATCCAAACATAAATATTCTAACCCATTCCCTCCAATGTCTGTTTGATACCCGGGTGAAGACGACGTCTATGTCCACTCGTCGCAGATCCGCGATTGTTGCGCGCTTCCAGAAACCAATCGTTTTCACGCCAGTACCGCAACGTCTCTATTCAATTAGCTGTCGTGCTCGTGTCCAACAACACATAGTGGGACACATATTGCTCGAAAGACAATTCGGTACTCACCGACCGCAGCCGAATTTCCACACACTAGCTTCTCTCTATCCGTCTATTTTATCCAGAATGGCAGATTCAAAAGGCCGGAAGCAGGCTACGCTGGGGTATGTTCGTGACTCCCAGTTGACTCTCGGGTGCGTCTTGATATGAGTCGCCCGGGTGTAGCTATGGTTTGTGGGCAATTGGCGTGGCTAACTGGTACATCTTGTTGGCAAACAGGCGATTTTTCGGCTCGAATGCGGACCCCAAAGAAGCACCTAAGAAACAGACTACACTTTCTTTCTCTGGCAAGAAAGATAAGGCTGAGAAAGTTGCGACGAAATCAGCGACAACACACGATTCTTCATCTGCAGATGGAGAGGGCGCCAATGGGGCGGAAAGTGAAGTTACTACAAAAGCAGATGTAGTTGAGACTAAGCCAAAGCCAGCTCCGGAAAACGGACATAATGACTCTAATGACCTGAAAAGGAAAGAGAGTGAGGAAGAAGCCAGTGACAGTGATGTTCAGCCTGCGCAGAAACGGAGACGGAGGACTTCACGAAGCCAGGAAGGAACCCCTTCTCCGAAGAAGAAATCTAAGACTCCATCTCCTAAGCGCTCCACATCCAAAAAAGACATTAAACTCGAAAAGACAGAGCAGCCGGCTGTTGTAAAGGAAACGTCGGGGGAGGAGACTCCTGAGGAAGACAAATCTGAGGAGGAAGCGTTGTCGGCCAGTGAAGACGAGGAGAAGCCCGAGGCGATGAAGAAGACCATGGAAAAAGTGCAGGCTACGTTGAAAGCGAGCGGCAGTGAGCCATATCCGGACTGGAAGCCTGGGACCCCCGTTCCTTATGCAGCATTGTGCACGACCTTCTCACTCATCGAAATGACCACCAAACGATTGGTGATTCTTGCCCATTGCTCTCTGTTTCTTCGCCAAGTCCTTCGGTTGACACCTGAGGACCTCCTTCCTACAGTTCAGCTTATGATCAACAAACTAGCTGCCGATTATGCCGGAATCGAACTGGGAATTGGCGAGTCTCTGATCATGAAAGCCATTGGCGAGAGTACCGGCCGCAGTTTGGCGGTCATCAAGGCAGATCAGCACGAGATTGGAGACCTAGGCTTGGTGGCAGCTAAGAGTCGGTCGAACCAGCCTACCATGTTTAAGCCGAAGCCATTGACAGTCCGGGGAATCCATGAAGGTCTCCTGGGTATTGCTAAAGTCCAGGGCCACGGTTCTCAGGACAAGAAAATCTCCGGTATTAAGAAGCTTCTCTCTGCTGCCGACCCTGAAACAGCGGGAAAGGGTAGCAAAGGTGTGGATATCACGAAGAACAAGGGTGGCCCCAGCGAGGCCAAGTTTATTGTTAGGTTTTTGGAAGGGAAATTAAGGCTAGGGTTGGCAGAAAAGACCGTTCTTGTCGCCCTTGCTCAAGCAGTGGTGACTCATGAAGCCGCCCTCCGAGGAGAGAAGACTCCTTCTCCCGAAAAGTTGGCTGAAGGCGAGGCTATCTTAAAGACGGTGTACAGCGAATTACCCGCTTATGAGATTATTATTCCCGCCATGCTTGAGAACGGCCTGTCCAAGCTCCACGAGACTTGCAAGCTACAGCCCGGTATCCCGATTAAGCCTATGCTTGCTAAGCCGACGAAATCCATCACCGAAGTCCTTGACCGTTTCGAAGGAAAGGAATTTACTTGCGAGTATAAGTACGACGGAGAGAGAGCACAGATTCACTACGTGGCACCAGACGCAACCCACAACTACCCGGAAGCACAGCACACATTACAAAAGGATGGCAAAGGCCTCGCTGCCATTTTCTCTCGTAACTCCGAAGACCTGTCGAAGAAATACCCAGATGTGCTGGCTAAGCTCGACAGCTGGATCAAAGACGGCGTGAAGAGCTTCGTCTTGGACTGCGAGACCGTTGCTTGGGATACGGTGAACAAGAAGGTTCTACCCTTCCAGCAGCTGATGACCCGCAAACGCAAGGATGTGAAGGCAGAAGACGTCAAGGTCAAAGTCTGTGTATTTGCCTTTGACCTCTTGTTCTTAAATGGAGAGGTAACGTCGATAAATTCATTATTTCATTGGCTGCTGCTAACTATCGCTACTTATAGCCTACTGTCAAGAAGTCACTCCGCGAACGCCGAGAACTCTTACATGACGCATTCCAGATTACGGAAGGCGAATTCCAGTTCGCTCAGTTCGGTAACACCAATGTACTGGATGAGATCCAGGAGTTGCTGGACGACAGTGTCAAAGCGTCGTGCGAAGGTTTGATGGTCAAGATGTTGGACACGAACGAAAGTGGCTACGAGCCGAGCAAGCGGAGTCGGAATTGGCTCAAGGTGTGTAGTGCGCAATCCATATACTTCTGTGGCGTAGCTAATTGTGAACACAGGTCAAGAAGGACTACCTTAGCGGTGTCGGTGATTCGCTTGACCTAGTCGTTCTCGGTGCTTACTACGGGCGAGGCAAGCGTACCTCCGTCTATGGTGCCTTCCTTCTGGCGGCGTACAACGCCAATACGCAAGCCTACGAGTCAATTTGTAACATTGGCACCGGGTTTTCCGAAGCTAACCTCGAGGAGCTTCACAAAGAGCTGTCTCCCCTGGTCATTGATCGACCCAAGCCGTTCTACACTCATTCGACCGTCCCCAAGGATCAGCCTGACGTCTGGTTTGAGCCTCGGCTGGTTTGGGAAGTGAAGACCGCCGATCTGACGCTCAGCCCACGATATCAAGCTGCGGCTGATGAGTTTGTGGGTACGACCGGTGGAGGCAAGGGTGTTTCTCTCCGCTTCCCCCGGTTCATCAAGTCACGAGAGGACAAGAAGCCGGAGCAGGCGACGACGACGCGGCAAGTAGCCGAGATGTATCGGAAACAGGAGGCGGTCGCGAAGGAAAATGCGGGTAAGAAGGGAGTGGACGATGATTTTGAATATTAGTCGGGGTTCCTGAGTTTAATCTCCGATGTGGAGTGCATTGCATCTTACTACTACTATTATACTTTCCTTCTCCCCTCGCTTTCCGGGGGTCGACTTACTGTATGTACTATACGGCGTACACACTAGGGCGGGTTCTGTTTCTGTTTGTTTTGATGCCGATCGCGTCATGAATGAATGTCACGCCATTCTGGGTAGCAATCCGGACGATTGATAATATGATGGTCAAATAATCCCAGCGGATATTAAGCGCCAAGACAATGGAATTAATTGAAGGAGTCGGTGTGCTGATAACGCAACTTGTCGCCATCGTCCAGGACGGAGGACCAAAAGGAACACAACAAATACCAAGCCGTGGTCTTGTCCTCTGTACCTCTCAGGGAATCCACCCCGCTTATCGCCGGCGGCAGTAACCGATAAACGGGAGGCTTGACCGGAGGAAGCCAACTGCTTCGGTCCTTAAATTGCCTTGGCATGTAACCCAAGACATGGAGACAAGGCCAACCACGCGAATGCGGTGGGGAACCCCATTCCATTGCAACCTGTTTATCTCACTAATCACGATGACTGATATCAATCTGGCGGCTTTGTTCGCAGTCATCATGATGGCTCCATGCTCTCCCGATTGGGTAGGTTCTTAATCGCGAAATGCGGAGACATTCCGTGCCCATTCTTTCTCGATTTCTATAAAGGAGCCATGTGGGCGTCCCCCCCGTCGATGATCCATTCCACCCTTCTCTCCCTTCTGTATCGCAGTTCCTCTGGGGGTCAATTGCTGTAGACCTTCCTACGGTAGAGACGCGATGAAGTCGGTATTCAACATGGGAGCGCTTCGGTGGCTCTCCATTGCAGCTACTGCCTCGACCGCGTTGGCCCTCGACCCTGAGTAAGTCGCCGCCACTCAATGTCTCACAGAGCATTTTGTTTGCTAACTGAGCGCGACAGGGGCCTCATCAGCGCTCCGCGGAGGTCGGAAGCGATCCCTAACCCTTCTGGTGTAAGCATTGACTCTGATTAGCGTGTACCTGGGCGCCAATGACTGACACGATCTGCTTAGGATGTCGCGGTGTTCTCGCAATCGCAATACTCTTTCGAGACCCACAAGACTACCTCGCAGTGGAACCTGCTGGACCTGAAGTCGGGCGATATCAAGATCCTGACGAATGACAGCGATGTCTCCGAGATTGTCTGGCTGGGGTCGGATGACTCGACTGTCCTCTATGTCAATGGTACCAATGCCGACATTCCCGGAGGTGTAGAATTGTGGGTGTCGGACATCTCCGATTTCGCCAATGGGTGTGTAGCGCCTCTTGTATCTTGAATGATCGTATGCACCAATCGCTGACTCGACGCATAGATACAAAGCAGCTTCATTGCCGGCTTCTTTCTCTGGCTTCAAAGTCGTCACTACAGACTCCGGCGATGTGCGCTACGTCGCATACGCCGAGTCGTGGGCAAACGGCACAGCATACAACGAAGAGCTTGTGGCAAAGCCTCTGAGCTCTGCTCGCATCTACGACAGCATCTACGTGCGCCACTGGGATTACTACCTTACCACCCGCTTCAATGCTGTGTTCTCGGGCACCTTAAAGAAGTCGGAGGGCAAGGGCAAGGCTACCTACAAGGCTGACGGAGGCCTCAAGAACCTCGTCTCCCCTGTTAAGAATGCTGAGAGCCCCTACCCACCCTTTGGTGGTGCCTCTGACTATGACCTCTCCCCCGACGGCAAGTGGGTTGCTTTCAAGAGTAAGGCACATGACCTTCCACGTGCCAACTACACCACTGCATATATCTTCCTTGTCCCCCATGACGGATCGAAAACCGCTGTCCCAATCAATGGACCCGATAGCCCCGGCACCCCAGAGGGTATCAAGGGTGACGCCGGCAGCCCGGTGTTTTCCCCGGATAGCAAGAAGATTGCCTACTGGCAGATGGCCGACGAGTCTTACGAGGCAGACCACCGTACCCTGTACGTGTACACTGTCAACTCGAAGGAGACTATTCCTTCCCTTGCAGCAGACTGGGACCGGTCTCTCGACTCCGTGCAATGGGCAGATGACGACAACCTTATCATTGGCGTTGAGGACGCAGGACGTAGCCGTTTGTTCTCCATCCCAGCAGATGCCGGCGACGACTACAAGCCTAAGAACTTCACCGATGGCGGTGTTGTATCCGCTTACTACCAATTGCCTGATTCCACCTATCTGGTTACCGGGAGTGCCATCTGGACCAGCTGGAACGTCTACATCGCTAGTCCCGAAGAGGGCGTGGTTAAGACGTTGGCCACTGCCAACAAGATTGACCCTGAGCTGAAAGGCCTGGGTCCCGAAATCGTCGACGAATTCTACTATGAGGGTAGCTGGACCAAGGTACTTGTGCCCGAGCCCAAGTATTTCTCAGACCTTGCTAACAACCACCGCAGATCCAAGCCTTTGTTATCTACCCCGAGAACTTCGACAAGACCAAGTCCTACCCCCTTCTCTACTACATCCACGGTGGACCTCAGAGCTCGTGGCTCGACTCCTGGAGCAGCCGCTGGAACCCCAAGGTCTTCGCCGACCAGGGATACGTAGTCGTTGCACCCAACCCAACCGGAAGCAGTGGTTTCGGCGATGCCCTCCAGGACGCCATCCAAAACCAATGGGGTACGACTGACCCACTTATACTTAAACCCCCATCCATACCCATGCTAACAAACCACCACAGGAGGCTACCCCTACGAAGACCTCGTCAAGGGCTGGGAATACGTCAACGAGAACTTCGACTTCATCGACACCGACAACGGCGTCGCCGCAGGAGCCAGCTATGGCGGGTTCATGATCAACTGGATCCAAGGCAGCGATCTGGGCCGCAAGTTCAAGGCCCTGGTCAGCCACGACGGCACATTCGTCGCAGACGCAAAGGTCTCGACCGAAGAACTGTGGTTCATGCAACACGAGGTGAGTCACCTACCGACCGCCATATTCCCTCCCTAACAAAAAAACACCCACAATCGAGCCATAGCTAACATAAACCAAACAAAAAGTTCAACGGCACATTCTGGGATAACCGCGAAAACTACCGACGCTGGGATCCTTCTGCCCCCGAACGAATCCTCAAATTCAGCACCCCCATGCTCATCATCCACAGTGATCTTGACTACCGTCTCCCCGTCTCAGAGGGTCTCTCTCTCTTCAATATCCTTCAGGAACGCGGTGTCCCGAGTCGATTCCTTAACTTCCCGGATGAGAATCACTGGTATGTGCCCCCCGTTTACCAACTCCACTCCCCTATTCAAGTCAACTACAACATAAAACAGCCCACACTAGCCGGAAGAAAGAATACTGACGTGGAGGTGAAATAAACAGGGTTCAAAACAAAGAAAACAGTCTAGTCTGGCACCAACAGGTCCTGGGCTGGTTGAACAAGTACTCGGGCGTGGAAGAGTCCAACGAGGATGCCGTTAGCTTGGATGATACTGTTATTCCTGTTGTGGATTATAACCCGTGAGTAACACTATAGTTGAACCTACCTTATCTATTGTTACCTATCATTATGATTATGATTGGAATATTGGATGTAATATGACGTTATGGTTGTATGTGTTTGTGAATTGTTGTTGTCGTTGTCGTAAAAGTATACTTCTTTTAGTTCTAGTATGACTGATCTTAAGGTAGTAGTGTATTTCAGGGAGATTCTTCTTCAAATTACCGGGAGGCTGAATTGTGACGAACGTATTTTATTGACTTTCATTGATTGTCACTTTGTCGCTATTCACTGGACTGAATGGGTTCATAATCATGCTTTTATATAATACATCCATATCCATAAACCGAGGTATCCGTGATTGCTCGTCGACTTCTAAACAGAACGCGTATAAACACAGGTGCCAATTTGGCGCGTATGGGTAATTCGAAAATAACAGGGTTAAAGTAAGCAGGAAAGCAAACTAAGAGAGGCAGAAAGCAAGTTCGAGATGACATCATAATTCTCCGGAGTCGGAACCTTGGCCATTTCCTGGGTAGTCGTAGTTGTCCCTCGCGGTGAATCCGGCTTGACGTGCTCGTAGGATAAAGTTCACTAATAGGACAGCCGCAAGACCAACGCCAACGACGGTTGGTCCCCATTTCTCGTAGTAGACTCGTTTAACGTCGCGGCGCTTGCGGATCTTGTCCACTCGCCAGATGTAGAGCACAAGACTGTACACGAGGGCCAGGGCTGCGAGCACGGTAAATGCCCAGGAAGATGCGAATGTGATGTAGTCGTTACCAAAGTTCAGTAAGGTGGCTGCGATAGTACCCAGGAGAATTGAGAATTCAAGCCACGAGAGGAAGGTCCGCTCCGCGGCGAAGTAGACTTTGGGCTCGACACGAACCGGGACGTGGATACCTAAGATATGTTAGTTTTCTCTCAACAATGGCGGGGTTTGGCTAAGCTTACGCTTTCCCTTCGGAGCGATGAATCGCTTAACGGTACGCTTGTTTCCCATGACAGCGATTCCCCTTTGTTCCGGGGGTGGCAAGTTGGTTGGTCTCGGCCGAGGAATGAGTGCTATGAGTCCAGATACTACAGCACTTCCAGCTTGCTGGCTGTAGTATTTGGCCAACTGTCGGTAATAGTGCATCCCACCGACTCGTCGCGCCTCTTCCAGTTCGTCTGAATCGACAGTATCTTCCTCGTCTGAGTCATACAACGGGTAGTCTTCATCTCCCGGAAGCGGCTGGGCGGCGATGCGTTCCTCTATATCCAAAGCGTTTCCGTCTGAATCGGCGAACAGATCATTGCGAGGATCCCTCCGATCGCCATTGGCGTGCCCTCTGTCATCTAATTCGTCCTCATCTGAGTCATAATCGTCGTCGGGTGTCTCATTGGCTGATAGTGAAGTACTCGCCAGCGGTCGTTCAATACCAAACCGGCCCATCGCGGGTTTACGAATGTCCACATCCATCTGTGGCATCCAGAACGGAAGGAGGTTGATACGATCGGGGAAAAGAGTCGCTGTACCGTGGATAAACTTGCTGAACTTGGGAACCGCTTCTACTAGGTGACTCGCCGTCAGGTCCCTGATCCATTGGGGGGGCTCTTGACCGGCCTGGGTCTGAAGTTTCACTTCAAGAACGGCATAAGGAAACCGTTCCACATCTTCGGGGGGCAACTGGGAGAAAGGGAAATCGACACCGATATCCATTCGGCGCCAGTTGTCTCCGGCTCTGCGGTGACCATCGAGATTATCCTCGCGGACCATGGTCAATTCAGTATCAAGCGATATACGGACTCTGGCGTCGCCCGGCAACTGGAAAGCAGTTCGATGGTAGAAGGTCCGAGTGACAGGCTTCAGCTGTCGTGTGATGACCCGGTATTGGATCTCTTGAGCTAGCTGTTCGAGATTGTTGATTTCGTCTTCACTCTTTTTACCATCCTTTCTCATCTTGTCGAAAATAGCCTCGGTCGTCAGCTCTCCAGCCAGGTAAGCATTAACATTCTTTTCCTTGAGGGAGAAACGGGCTTTGACCGACTTCTCTCCGGTCCAATCCTCGCGATGAGTCTTTCGCTCGACGAAAATTTGGTCACTCTTCATGCCACCGTACCAGCGCAATCGAATGGCCTCGGCTCCTTCCGTCTTCTTCAACCGTCCTTGGTACAGCTCCCATGTGTCCGAATTGTCGTAGTAGATGGAAGTGATAGCAGTGTCCTCTTCCTCGAACTCCTTCTGGGGATTGAAGACGAGCACGGGAAGGTGCTGCTCCGGTCAGTGCTGATATTAAGGCGAAAGGTGTGAGAACATACCTTAAGGATGATGAGCTTCAGCTCGGTGATATTATCAGGATGAACCCAGTATTTAGTTGTTTGGCGAACGAAGTTTTGCTGTGTGCCACCAGCGGAAGAGTCTCCCTTAACCGGGTTTCCTTTGGTGCGAACCAGATCATAGAGCTTGGACAACTTCACCACGAACGCATCATAATTATCCTTGAAGAAAGGCTTGGCTTTGAGTCGTGCCGCAAAAACTGGCTTGAGATGCCAGCTGGTTTCTTTCTATCGGGAAATGTCAGTTTGAAGTTCGTGTGCACAGACACCAGGGCCAACACAAAAAAGAAGAAAAAAAAAAAAACAAAAAACATTAACAGCGAAAGCAAGATAGCACATACATCGTGTTTCTTGATAATTTTCTGAAACCCAGTGTAGTTGAGCTGGGTAAACTTGGCCAAATCATGGACGTCGGCAATGATGTCACTCAAGACCTGCTCAAGGACCATGAAATCCTCATCGGACGGAGGGCAAATGCTAGAACGGACGCTTTGACGGCGCGAGCCCGACGCCGTGGCCGTCTCTAGGCGCGAGACTACATCATTGACTTCCTTCTCGCTCGACTGGATGCGACGAACAATTTCCTCGCTTTTCGTGCGCTGGAAATTAAACACCTTGTCCAGTTCACCTTCCAGCAGCGATACGAAGTGTTTCTCGTCATCTTCTGTCCATGGCCTGCGATCGCGTTTTGAGTATGAAGAAACTGGTTCGGCGACAAAATCGGTCCTCAGAGCTCTTTTCAATTCATCGTAGGCGATGTAGTACCAGTAGTACTCTTTGATCATCGACGATCGGAGATGCTCTCCGAACCTTGAGAGGTGGGGACGATTAGCTAGGGAACCATTGAGCTTGGAGGGAAGCTTCTACTCACCTCATGATGGGCTAATTGGGAGTGAAATGAAATTTACCAAGGATGAAGGATTCTTGAAGATGGTGAAGCGGGGAGGGGGTGTTAGATGTGGGAAAGGAGCATCATGAAATGCGCGAGAAAAGGCAAAAGGGAAAGACTAAGAGGTCGGTCGGTAGCTTAAGATATGGGAAATAAATTCAACACTGAGTGGAGATCTGACACTGACTAGCATACAGTGAGCTATGCAGTGGCGAAAAAAAAATTCTTTCTGTGGTATTCTTTTTCCTCTTTTTTTTCCTCTCCAGCCCTTTTCAGTTCAGGGAATAGACTACTCGGTGATGGCGCGCGCGAGAGAGAGAGAGGGAGATACAACTACTGTACCTCGACATCACGAGTCTGGAGCGGAGCCCAAAGTAGAATAGCGGCCAGCTAAAACGTTAGTCCTGGCCGTATTGACGTATGGTTAATACGGGGTCCGCTTACCTTCCCATGCATTGACCACTTAGAATCGTCCCGCTAGGCGATAGCTTTCAGAACCGATATTAGTTCCATTTCCATGATCGTCTTAGTCCACGCACGTTGTGTGACCCGATTTGCCCATTAATACCACCCTGGTCCGTCCCGATTCAAGGGTAATGAGGCCAAGACTGTCTGGCAAACCCATCACAGCCACTCGCCCAAGCATGTGCTCGTCCATGTGGAGTCTCTGTGCCTACCTTAGCGCCTACTATTTTCGAGGCTAAACATCCAGTCCAAATGGAATGCTAAAAGTTTCCTTTGACTCGTAATGCACCTGAGCATCAATCTGTGCAGTCTGTCATTTCCCCCCCCCCCTTTGCTATTAGGACTCGACCTGCCGTACTGGGTATGAAATCCGTGACTTAAGGACCTTCCTAAATTAACCGGTGAAGCAAAGCAATACTTTCGAAATCTGCATGTCTCTCTCGCTCTCTTTCTCTACGTAAAAGAAACCTATATACTCGACTAACAGTGCATGTGGTCGATCCATATCTAAAACACTCGGAGGTCTTCCCTCCGAACTGTGTTCAATGGTAATCAATCTGTCACAGAATAAAGCCGGAAGATTCCCTCTGAATTTCGGCCAACCCTAAAACCCCTTTGCCGGATGAATTTCCGAAGACAGCGGAAGAGCAAAGAATACCGAAGATTTACAAACAAAATGAATAAGGAATAAATAAACCGTGCCTCAGCACGACTCCGGAGCACAGGTAAGACATTTCCTCTGCGGGCGGACTGGTAAAGTAATTTGCATTATGAATCATAGTGTCAGGGCCTCAGATATTGACGGGCAAGGCCACGGTCTAGATCCACTGTGGGACATGATTTAGACTGCAGGCCACGGGAAATACAGGCTCCACAAGCCAATCGGCAGGTTGCTCAATTGTTTTCCACCTAATTTGACTGCAAGGGAGTCGAGGAACTGACCTCAGGGAAGTCTCTCTCACGATGCAAGCATCATCCGATCTCATTCCAAGGCACACGTGCAGTATTTCCCAATTCGGCCGCCTCTGGCACCATACCCGTTTGCTCGTAGAAAGGGATACGAGTATCGGCGCAACTGCAGCCTTTTGTACTCCTACCAACCCCAGTGGACGGACTCTTAGCGTGCGTAAGGGGACAAGTAAATACCAAAAAGGAAAGAAAAAAAAGAGAGAATAGAAGACAATTGGGTGGTTGACAAGCCAATAACAAATGGCAATATCAATAATAGAAAATCGTTAAGAGAAAACGGGCATTATAGGAACAAGGGTTCAGTATATGGCAACGATACCCGACCCGCCTGGCTGTCTACACAAGTACTGTCTGCTCTAGTCATATTCAAAGAAAAATAACGTATGGTAGCATAGAAAGGAAGTTCCGCTGCACTTACAAAGTAGACGATCATGAGTACGCCTGCAATAACGGCCAACCGTTGGCGAGCATGCATGCGGCTTTTGCCTTGTCACATTTGACTAGATTGCATCTACGGCGTTATTCCGTCGAATCCATCCCTATAAGGCTGGAACCATCAATTACCAAGAGATTTCGATTCCATTTGCATCCGGTAAGCCACTGCATTAGCGCCCGGAGTACAGTTCACCAATTTTACGGGTGCGTACGCTGATCTGCCTGCTTAAGCATATCTATCCTTGCCCCTCTCTTGGCGTAGATGAGGGGTTTAATTGGAAAGTGCTATGGGCGGTCCGTGTCGAAGCATCAGTAGTAGGGATGAAGAGAGCTTCGCTGAACCTGCTCTATACTCAGTTTGTCATTGGGTCGGATCCAAGATCAATCAAGACTGCGTCATATGTTCGCGTATGTCAATTGGTCGGACTGGCAAATAGCAAGGTCTAGCCGGTATCGTAAATTATGCGTCATATTTGCTTTGATGTTGGAGATCTGCACAGCCTGAGGTTACCCACTAAGCCATAACTTATAATCCCATCTCCCCTCTATTGATTCTCTTCGAAAAGCTCCACTATTGTTGGAGAACTCTTGATGACGAGGAAGCAAAAACTGTCAGAAGTATGATGCTCCGGATGATCCAAAAATAAAGGTGATATTAGAAAGGTTGCAGACAATTTAACGAATTCTCAATTTGATAGCCCTTGTCCCCCCCCGAGATTACTTAGAGTAAACAGGAAGTGAAACCGGAAAAGGAAGAAAGAGAAAGGAAGGAGAAGCGAGATCATTGTTAAAGTCCACAAGACCTGCAGAGCTAATTCATTCTCAAAACCTCGTCAGCCGTATAAAACCATATGAATTCTTTTGGTATACAAACGTTTTGTGTTATGGCAAACCGCCTAACTGTACCACCTGAATCCTGTGCTCTTAAGGTCCTTTGTAGGAGATTTTCTTTCTATAAGATATCACCCTGCTCATAGTTATTAGATACTAAGATACTAGTCATCAAGTTGATTGTCCTCTTTGTCACTCTCATGGTCTTTCTGCATTCAGGATCGCACCTATCCCTCATCCTATATTTAGACAGGGTGTACAAATAGCGATTAACCAAGTCAACCGTGCTTCATTATGAACCGTAATGCCTCCAATTAGCATAATGCCTTCACTTAAGTGGAAACTCTGGGTAAATACCTATAGACACCTCTCCCACCTGAAGGGACGCGAGTAACAAAACCCAGGAGTTACAGCATATCCCTTTGTCGGATATTGAATGTTGAGGCTATACGAAGCCTGCTCGGTTCGGGACCTGGGAGGTATGTCGTCTTTGTCAAATTAGATTTAATAGAAGTGGCAAATGAATCAAAAGAAAAGAAACTGTTGTTGTTGTTGAGTACCACCACGTTGCAGAGCTGGGATGATGTGTTGAAATCATCCCACCGACGAGCAGCCGGGCAGTAAAAGGAGATTTGATCTAAAAGCCTGCGGCGTCGTTACTCGGTTGATGACAGTAATACCAAGGTTGTTAACATATACTGCCTATTCATAAGCCTTTCTCTTCATGCTTGTATATGACAAAGTCTCTTTTCTTGCTATGCTCAACTGCCGAATTCATGTTCATGACCACTCATTCAAATCAACACAAACAATTAAAGGGAAACATCTGGGGATATGTACGACCAGGCGAAAAATTATATCCGACAATTCTTATGTTACTGTCTAGTCTTCAGACTGCCCATGAAGTGAAGTCGAAATAATGATACACAGATAATGATTACACTATCAAAGCTACTCATAACTATATCAAATATATACTTATCTAAGGACACCCACATCACAAATAACTGGGGCTCCGAACCGCAAAGGTATAGAGTGGCACCATTCGGCTTCGGCCAGAGCTCTCATCTACTGCTACCGAGGAACGTTTTATGCCGCTAGCCCAAGTCGGTAGACTGAGCAACAGTCCAGTTACTACTTTCAAGTATCAAAGTGGATATTAGAAACGGTTGGAGAAGATGCTAAATTCGGAAGTTCATTCCACTCGAACGGAGACGATATTCAAAGGTGAAACCAAAAGGAGAATTCACTACGATGACAGTCCAACGTTTGAGAAGGCAATGAAGACATTAAGCAGTGAAAGGAAACGACGCCCGCGTTGCGTGGGAATCCACATTATGGAAAGTGCTGGTGGGTCGCCCCGTGGGCGTTCAATTGACTGGGGCTTAGACTACGCTATCGAGTAGCTTCTTCGCTACTCGTAACGAGGAGCCAATAACTGCCTGAAGAATGCTATTATTGGTTGTACATTGCGGTCAAAAATCGGTTCCAACGGATTCTTCTACAAAAGGCTAGTGATTCTATTGCGTCGTGGCTTCGGTACCCCGTCCTCTGTCGCTCGGGGGGATCCGACGTCATCGGAATTCCCCAGACGCGGAAGAAAAAAAACCGATGCAAAGATTCTTCAGAGAGTTGGACTCGTGCCATAATCATGGATCCTGAATGGATGGAGACATCTAAGCTTAAATAACCGAGAAAGCATCTAACCTTGAGTTCGGGCCAACTCCGGTATTTCATATATCGCCTCTCATTGCTGCGGCATACCCCCATCGTTTACTCCGTGCTTCCGTGGCTTTTATACTTGACGTCTGAAACCGTTAGTGCCCTCGCTTGCGGTACTCGTCAAAACTGGAGACCGGGCATTCCCGCGAGTCATGTATTGTTTATTAATCTTAACCTGCTCGATAGTGTGACCCTTGGAATAGTCAAGCATTCTCAGAGAGAAGCCAAGTCCCTAGTAGTAGTCATTGAGCTTTCAGAGAATTTACACAACGCAGGGGCGATCCACTACTCGATGGGGCAGAGCCTCTGCCTGAACATATTGGAAATCACTCTTTTCCGCCACGGTGCCTAGTTGTGCACATCAGACGAATATACCACCTAGCTTGATTCGTTGCAGTGAACTACAGATGAAGTTTAGCACTGGTTTACTTTTCTAAAGGAGAGTTGAAACTTTTTCAAGGAGAATAAAGTCAATCAATTAGTTGTATCTTATGTACATGTACAAGCTCAACGCCAACCCATGCCAGTGGGGACAAAAGCTAAATCCGTGAAATCATCATGCAAG